TAATTTGAGGGCTGGAGAGATGGCTCCGTGGGTTAAGAGTGCTTGCTGCTCACAAACCATGAGGAACTGAGTTCAGACCCCAGTAGCGATGTTGAAGCCATGGCTTGCGGGAGTATGGGCAGGATGATCCGAGGAGCTTCCTGGCTGCCAATCCAGCTCCAAGTTCCCTGAGAGTCAGGACACCTGATGTCCTCTTCTGGCTTCCTCCCTCATGTGCATGGGTAAGTGTACCTGCCCACACATGCACATACCATTTACCACATTTAAACACATACATTCACACCCACACATACACAAAAATAACTTAGTGTTGTCAATCAAGAGCTGAGCCACTATCTATTAACAGCACATGATCCTTCTTCAACTTTGAATTACAAGACCAGTAAACAAACACCTAACTCTTGTAGTTGTGGAGATTTAAAGAGGAAGATCCCATCCTTTTCCAGACCCTGCTGTTTCTCCCAAGGTGTCCACTGATGTCTCCTCTTATCCTGGGTCTGTCCTTCCTGCAAGCTTCTCTGGCTGCCAGAGGACGGCAGGGCCTTCAGAATACAGCTTCGGCCCCCACCCAAGAGCTAGTGGTCACAAGCCCGTGCTCTGTTCCACACTCGCAGAATCCAGGTGAATTTTAAAATAGAATAAATGGAGATCCAGTTATGTAAAATGTCACCTCTGGCCTCCTGTTCTGTCGAGAGTTAAGACCAGCTGGTTTGTTGCTCTTGGTATCAGTTTCCAGTGCCTAAGTCTCTGTGATCTGCAGCAGAAATTCTTACAACAGGGCCCTTAGAAGTCTCGTTCTCTGATGGGCTGCCAGAGGCAGAGTCCAAGGCATATCTATGCAGACAGACTTTTTACTGAGTTCCCAGGGACTGGGAGAAAACTACCAGAAGCAGCAGGCCCCCACTGTGTTCTACATCTAGTAATCAACAACTGTCTCCCGTGGATGGTGGGATTGACTGACAACTACATATTTATCTGGTCCCATTGCTAATCTAGACAGAGATGACGATGCAGATGAGAGGGAGATGAGCGAGGAGAGGAAAAGAGCAAGAAGGGAAGTGGGAAGCATTATCAATACACTGAAGGAAAAAAACAGGTACAATCTGGGTTTTCCCCCCTAAACCTCCTTCTCAGAGGGCAACTCAAAGAAACCACTGTCCTGCTATGAAACTTGTTCCTTCTTATGGAATCAAGAAATTAAAGATACTTCAGTCACCTATTGCAACTTGGAGTCGAATTAACAGCACTGATAAGCTTGGCTTTTATGAGACTGCATAGTATTAGTTCTCACTTCTCAAACAAGTAATGGCATGGATTTAAAAATGTTTGGAGCTGCTAATACAGTTGCATGGCAGAGTGTTTGCCTAGCATTTGTAAGAACCTCAATGTGACCCCAGACATCCACTCCTCAGCCAAAGAACACCTATAGAGGCAGTACCTGCATCCAAGAGGGTCTCCCAGTACAATGATCATCAGTCCCATTGGACTTCACTCCACATTACAGAATTAAATCCACTAAATAAAAACATTCTGGTAAAGAAACCACATTTAAAATCTACAGGTGTATGTTTGGTTACATTTAACCTATCTTTTTTCTTATCCCTCTAGTCTTAATAGAGAAATTTAACACTTATTTGCGAGAGTACAAATATGTCACCTTCTTTTAATAGAAGTAAACTAGATCATGAGTTCCTCAATTTCATCTTCCAGGATAAAGCTCCTATAATGTCTTTTATTCTGTCAATGAAATTTCATTTGGCCTCGACTAGATTTTGACAAATTACAATTTGAACGTTTAGAAAGGTTTCTTGATCTAAACAATGCATTTCGTTGAAATTCAGGATCAAACACAATCGTGAAGCTGCAAGATGCCCTGGCCTTCCCCACATCTGAGGGAGCCACACCTGCTGAGCCTGCTGCTTTCCTTCTCTTGGTAGGAGAGTTCTGGTGAGATGCTCAGATCTGACCGATACATCACTTCTATCGGTTTACAAAGGAGAAAACTCAGACCCAGAGCTCAGATGTGTTGCCCAGATTATCACCTCTGCCGACAGTGCCAACTGGCCAGCCCAGGCTGCTGTTCCTTTCACTGGTCTTCCTAGTGCCCCACCCATGACCAATTCAGACAAGACAGGGAGATGGAAGCCTGATCTTGCAAACTGCCACCTGTCTCAGAGACATCCCCTTCCCAGAGAGCTCCTTGGGAGACCTCCCCAGGCTTTGTTTATGCTGGGAAACAAACAAAAGTTGTGTGTGAACCCAGCAACACAATGGGAAACACAGGCCCTAATACTTACCAACCTAAGATTTGGTCAGAAAAAAACCAGATGGTAGCTTTGAATGATGCTATACAGCAGTGTATGTAGTGGGTGAAAAGGAATGTCTAAACTAAAATTGGTCTTTGACCTTGCTCCCAGCACAGGGACCTTCGGCAAACCTCCTAATCTTCACAAACTTATTACCCCTTCTGTAAAATTAGCATAAATTGTATGTGAATGGTAGAATTTTGTAGAAGTTCAAAGAGGGAGAAAGATAGAAATAGACAGGGACAGGGCTCATGATGACAAGACTTATGAGTGAAGGCATCTGATGCCCTGAGTTTAATACCCATGGACCTCATGGTAGAGTTAGAACTGATCCCTGGACATTTTCATCCTCTGAAAGTGCAAGGTCTATCTACACAGGTATGGGTGGGGGGGGGGTCAGGAATGAAGAGAAAGAGAAGAAAGAAACAGAGATTAAAAGAGAATCCCAGGCTATACAGCAGGCACTCAGTGTGTGAAGTTCACAATGCCTGAGGGTAAACTAATGGGTGAACTAATGGGATTGTCTACTTTGTCATAAAAGTACACACAGAATCACACCTCTCCCCAGGACCTAGACCACATGAAAGAGGCGCTATCAAATTGAGTCTAGGACCTCAAAATGTTTGAGTTAGTGGGCAGACTCCCAGAATGGTGTTCTCTGATATTCCTCCCAAAGCTTTGACAGATTTCCTGCACAGTGCTGGGTCCCTAGAGGAAAAATGAAGACAGCCTTCAGCAGACTTGTCCCTCTGGCCCCTAACTCAGGATTATCTTCTATGTATTTTCACAGAACACTATATACTTCACACACTTACTGTGTCGGACTGTAACTGTTGATTTACTTGTCTGCTTTGTCAAGTAACTTAGGAGCTCTACAACCACTTGACTAATGCAATGCAAATCTCACATTTGAACTCACAAGTCTCCGTGAAAATTTCTGAATGAAAAAAAATTAAACAATCTCGTTTTTAAAATCAGCTTAAGGGATTGATGTTCTCCACACCCTCCTCCCAAACCCAAGATTGTACCCTTTCCAGTTTCCCTTACAAGGAAGAAAAGTCTCTATTTCCAGCATTTAGGCCACCTAGGCATCTGTTTGGGATGTTTCTCATCACATTAATCCACTCAATAAGTTGTGCTTCGAGAGAAGATCTGGTGCTCTGGGACAGCAGCAGATGGACCATGGTCCCTTCTTGGAGAGGCTCACAGGATAAGGGATAAAGGCTCCGATTTTCAGAGAAGCCACTAACCATTAGCCAAAATATTTCTGGATCAGTAACCATACCCTATCATCAACTTGACTCTCTAAAAATTACAGTGTGGCTTTAGGACCTGGTACGTAGTGTACATGCAATAAACATTGGCTGGATAAAGAATGATGGGTGTTTGAGTGAGCTTTGATTGACTGTAGGTGATGCTGAGAATCAGCAAATGCCTCTAAGCCTTCTGTGATAAGCCTGCTTGGGGCACCCGCTGAGGTGACACCACCTGGAGAGTTTACTAACATTCCAGACATCCTCCTGGGAGCAGGTGATAGTTTTAAGAAACTGTATGGAAGTAGATGAGGGAGAGCACTTTGATGCCACAGCAAAACATATTCCAGGCTTCAAAGAGATCTTGGAGACAAAACTCTGACTAAATAACCTTCCAAAACTAACCAGCTTCCAGGACACTCCCTGCTTTTAAAGCACATTTGGCCAAAGCATAAGCTGCCAGTACCATTTACCTATCATCTCCATTACTGATAATCAGAATTTATTTGGCCTTAGATTTGTCTGCCGGGCTCTCTTTTTTCATTTGTGGAAAAGGGGCCTTGTTTCTACAAACTGCCTGCCGTAGGGCTGGGCGCGCAGTTGCTATGGCATGCTGCATTTCTGTTTTTGTCCTCCTTGCTCTTGTTTTCAACGGGTAAAGGTAGCCCTGTGTAAGGTCTTCCTGGGGTTTCCGTGCAAGTCAAAACAGAAGGGCAGAAACAACCCTCATCCGTTTTTGAATTCTCTTGTCCACTCACTCATCTGTTTGCTTGCCATTTTTTCTTAGGATAGACCACGCTGTCGAAAGTTACAGAAATAAAACAAATGGGAAATGCCATCACAGAACCCACCTATTTGATATCATGCTGAAAACAGATACATATCTAAATGACAAGGAACATACAGCTTCTCACCTATCCTCTCTGTTGCCAAGGGGGACAACTCTGACTTTAAAAAGGTAATTCTAGAGAGAGAATTACAAGAAAGAAAGGCGAGGTGCCCCCGCCCGCACCCCCCTCCCCGTGTGCCTTTATCCTTTTCATTCAGAGGGTAAATTCAGATGTGGTTGGGTAAAGCAGCTACACTTACACCCAAGGATGCTGAGACAGAAATGCCCATCACTTCTTTGCTCTTTAGATTGATTCAGTCTCATAGTGACCTCCTCTAAGGACAATGTGACAGGATGAAAGGTTGTGACACTCCCAGGTCTAGTCAGACAGTCACAGAGGCTCAGCCCAAGAGCACCCCCCCTCAGAGCTCACTGTTAGCCAATTAGAGACTGAGGTTTCCAGATGGTGAGATACGGTTCTGCTGCTGGGCCAATCAGGCGCCAGGCGGGGTCGGGGGAGGAGATGCGAGGAGAAGCCTGGGGCGATGGAGACACAGAGACATCAGCAGAAGTTTCTCACCTTGGAATGTGAGGGACGCTCCGGCATCTCCAGCAAATATCCACCTCTGCGTGCAAGGACCTTAGGCTACTTTCTCCACTTCATCCTCCTGGGGCCTGGGGGGACTGCTGATAGCTTCTGTCCCTGCTGCCCTTTTTAATGTTACCATTCAGGAGAAAGAGAGCAAGGAACAACTGCGTGCTAGGGAACTGACCTAAGGCCCTGTGGGCCTCTGGAGAGAGGGGACAGCAGAGGAGTGGCTGGGGCTGGGAGACTCCATGCGTGGGCCATGGACAGAGCGGCGCTCCTGGCCCTGCCCAGCTTGTGTGCGCTGTGGGCAGCCGTGCTCTCGCTGTTCCCCTGCGGAACCCAGGGCAACTGGATGTGAGTATGGGCTCTGTGGAGGCATGAAGGGTAGGTGGCCAAAGGGGTGGCCTGTGCCAGGGAACTTTCAACTGAGGCCAGGGGAGGAGGAGAGGGAGCCCTGGGACCGCGCTGACCTAATGCATCGGGGTAGGGGAGGAGGGGAGGGGGCCGACTTATGGCAGGGGCACCTTGTCTTACAGGTGGCTGGGCATTGCCTCCTTTGGGGTACCAGAGAAGCTGGGCTGCGATGGCTTGCCTCTGAACAGCCGCCAGAAGGAGCTGTGCAAGAGGAAACCTTACCTGCTGCCTAGCATCCGCGAGGGCGCCCGGCTGGGCATCCAGGAGTGCAGAAGCCAGTTTCGACACGAGAGATGGAACTGTATGGTCGCGGCCGCCACCACCACCCCGCTCGCCAACAGTCCCCTCTTTGGCTATGAGCTGAGTAGTGGTGAGTAGTGGGGTTGGTAGGACATAGAAAGAGACAACTTTTCTGCCAGTGCCTTCGTTAGAGTGAATAGTGGCTGCACCGTCCAGTCTTTGCGAGATATTCAAATAGGGAAACTGGGGCTACAGGGGCCAGACCCCAGTGTGCAGGTGCAGCCCTACAGAGGGACACCCCAGATCTACGGACACTTGGGCTGCAGTTCTCCGTCCTTCCCGTGGCCCCTGGCAAAGTTGCAGAAAAACTGTGAGTCCCCACCCCGTCGACCCCTCGGACCCCGTGGCGCCCCGCTCCGTGGGTGACCAGCTGGACAAACATGAGGTCTGCAGCCGGGAATGCTGCTGCCGCATCTGCTTTGATTTAAGCAGCTCTGTGGCGCGCAGAACTGCAGACAAGTAGCTAATTGAAGGACAGCCACACGTTTTATTGACTCCTGGAAACACCCGATTTAGTGTACAACGATGATTTTTTTTTTTTTTTTTTTAAAGGGACTGTCACCTGAGCGCGACTTCTTTTACTTCCCCTGGTTTTCTGTTCCTTCCATCTCTCCCCGGCTGAGCGCATTTTTCGCGATACGGGAAAGTTCCGGAGGTGGGGGGAGTTCTTTCACATGTGTGCATGATGATTTAGCAAGGGTAACGGTACTCGGAGCCAGGATGCTTCCCGAGACACTAGCAAAAGTCAGAGGGTTTTAGGCCCAAGTCATTGAAAGTTGCGCTCACTGTCTTTTTTAAAGTTTTGTTTCCGTTCGTACTGCCCCTTTGACCCTTCCCTACTCTGATACTGCTTGTGCCTCCCAGAGCTGTGCCTTCCTAGCTCCGAGTTTTGGCTGACAAGTGCTGCAGATGGATCCCTGGCCTGGGGGTTGGGGGTGAAGGGTAAGAGGCTGGAGGAGAAAGAAAGAAAAGTAAAAAAAACAGAGAAAAATTATGTATCCTAAACAGTTGCTGAGGCATAGAAGCTTTCGTTGGTGAAAAGGGTTATGGAACGACCCGCACGAGTGAAACTGTTTCTATTCCAATCTAAACATCTGGAAAGAAAGAAAAAAAAAAAAATCTACTGCTGGGTCCTTTCTAGTCTAATTTGTGAATGTCCTAATGGAACTTTGATTTCAAAGATTTTAACTCCAACTCTACTGACTGAGTGCAAAATGCAACTTTTTCAAAACAGGACACTTCCACAACAATTCTTTTTGCAAGTTTTCAATTATCTTTTATTAGTTTTATGAGTAGATGGTCAGCTGTACTGCATAAAATGTTAACTACTTAGTTGCAGTGATATTCACTATATCCCTTTTAAAAATCTTATCTTTAATGTTAAAGACAATGAATATTTACCTAGCAATTGTCTTGATTTTTGTTAATTTTTAACTTTCATTCTGACCCGTGTTGTCTATTCAAAGAAAAATCGCACCAGAATTTTCTGTTTGTGTTTTGTGAATGCAGCATACTTTGAAAAAAGATAAGAAATCTGTTTCCTTTTCACTTGCCATTTACATCATCTATGCAAAGGATTTACATTCAACATAAACTAATGAGCTGCTGCTACTGTCCATGAAACACTAAGACAGATACTAGTGAGGATTACAAAAACAAGCATAAATTTTAATATATGAGAAGAATGGGTGACAATATGGCATGTGACATCCCATGATGTGGGATCCTGAAAAATAATGCTGTTTTTTTAAGTCTAAAATATTAGATTTCCTTTTCAGTATTCACCCATTACAGCAGCCATTGTAAACACTTGAAAAATTGATTGCCTCATAAGCCAACGACGAGCTTTAGGACTGAATTTCAACAGAAAATGACAGCTCTGTAATTTATTAATTTTTTTCTCCTTAGGCACCAAGGAGACAGCGTTCATTTATGCCATCATGGCTGCAGGCTTGGTGCACTCTGTAACCAGGTCATGCAGTGCAGGAAACATGACCGAATGTTCCTGCGACACCACCTTGCAAAATGGTGGCTCACCAAGTGAAGGCTGGCATTGGGGGGGATGCTCTGATGATGTCCAGTACGGCATGTGGTTCAGCAGAAAGTTTCTAGATTTCCCCATCAGAAACTCCACAGGAAAAGAAAGCAAAGTACTGCTAGCCATGAATCTACACAACAACGAAGCCGGAAGGCAGGTATGTATTAGAAAATTAAATAAGACCCCAGCGTCATTGGGTAAATAGTACTTAGGATTATTGCTTCTGGGTGAATCCATGCCAACGATTTTAAAACCAAACATTGGCAGTAGAAGAAATAAATAGGCATATATCCTTTTCTGAGTGTGTATTGACTACACTGGTAAGCTTTCTTAGGGAATATACATCCACTATTTAATTTTTTGGAAAGCAAAAGTTTTTATGGAAAAAATTGTTTATTTTATAAAGTAATTTAGGTTCAATTAAGACTATAAAAGAATATGAACATAAAGTTATGGCTATGTTAAAGGTAATGACATTCTAAACTATGGTTATATTAAAGATAGTTTTAGAGGAGGTGAATAGAAGGACCCAGCCCCTAGTGAATGCCTTTATAAATTCTGGTTTTAAACATTGTTTTTTAAAAAAGGAATACGTGTGTACCCTACTTAGCTTTTATATATTTACATTATGGACTATTGATACGATAAAGTTTGGATTCTAAAACACTGTTGAATTGTTTGGCAATTCACCGTAACTTTCCTAAAAGGCTATAACATTTTTATGAATGCATATTTTCTGTCATAATAAATTTTTCAAGACAGATATAATTTTGAATTTCCAATAACCTGTGAAGGTCCCAGTGTTGTTACCACAATTGCCACATCCTCCTGAAGTAAATTCAGACAGTTTGCAGCATCTCTTAGGAATAGTTAAAGTATATGTTGCATTTGTTTTTTACATTTTTGGCAAGTGAATAATGGAGCTCATTCACAAAGTTTGGAAGTTCTAGCCAGTTTTCTTTATTTAACTGCCCTCATTTAAAACACAAAAAGCCAGAAGACTCAGTAAAATGTCACCAGAACTCCTCAAGTTTGCATTTACAGTCCCATTTAATTTGAATATGCAATCCAAAAAGGCAAAATAGAAAACAAGACAATCCCATAAATAAGTTATACAAGTTTCCCATATTTTTACTCAGGAGCTTCAGAAACGTTATTTGATTTCACTAACATTGCCTTTGCTCTGCACCATAGTAATTTGTATAACCTTTTTCCCTTGGGATTTTTCCATTGTGAAAATAAGAATGAGATATTGATGGATTTTTAAATAAAGAAATATCTATTATTTTTAACATTTTAATATGAAAGAATTAAATGCAATTAACATTGTTCTCTTAGACTCTAGCATTAAGCTCAAGAAAAACATCAGGGTACACCAAATCACTATATTTATTTAAAAGCTGAGAAAACAATCACATAAATATTCATTATTCATCGTTCGTTGAATGGTTTGATAACGATTTAAAAATTTAACCAAAAAAAAAAAAAATGAAACTCAGTTCTTCTTATGATTAACTCTTAAATAAATGTAGTTGTGTCTGAGCTTATGAAAATTTCCAACAATTGTATAAAAGAAAATTAAGGTTTTTGTTTGTTTGGTTTTTGTTTTTTTGAGACAGAGTTCTCTGTATTGCTTTGGAGCTAATCCTGGAACTAGCTCTTGTAGACCAAGCTGGCCTAGAACTCACAGAGATCTGCCTGCCTCTGCCTCCCAAGTGCTGGGAGTAGAGTCCTGTGCCACCAACACCCAGTTTTATGGATAACATTAAGTTTTATTTCATACTGTGTGTTTTCAAATTAGGGGGGTATACTTGACTCTATCATTGTAAATATTAGTTTTAAACAGTTATTTACAATTTGATTTTGTTTTTTTGGTTTTTTTATCTATAGCAATTTTAATGCACTATTGGCTAGGGGAAAAATCAATTTCCCCATATTACATAGATTTTTGCTATTTTTCCATATCGACAAATAAATAGTTCAGCCCATATAGAGGTACACATTTTGTACAAATTTCATTTTCCCTTCTTTTGCCTCATATTATTCTAGAAGGAATCCTAAAATATAACAAAACATTTACCTGGTTATTCTGAGGGTAATACATGGGTGTTTCATTGGCCTTTACTTGGGAGATATTCTAATTCAAAATATTTTTATGTTTCTTTCCACTGCTAGGTTTTTTTTTTTTTAAGTCTAAATAAACAAAAAAGGAGGTTTCTCTAACATGGACAAGAAGCTGACTCAATTTTTTAATATTGGCCATTATGATTTTGATCTGTCAGGCATATTTGTCTGAGTAAAGTTTAAGGTCTGCATTCAATTGAGTTGGTTTTTCTAGCCTCAAAATCCCAAACTCAAAATGTAGGAAAGCGTTCAGAGAAATGTGGGTACTGGCGCTTAGTAGCACTATGAGCAGGATAGATGATTTTCTAACCGCTGACCTTAAATACTCTGATTCCCACTTGGTTTCTGACACCATTCCTAAAGTTATGACTCCAAGAATAATGTTGCTGGGCGGCGATTGGCTGCGAGAACGATGTGATGTCTTCCAGGGGCAGAACTTCTGGGAATAATGTGACTTGGAATATTTATGGGTATTTCTTTTGGTGTGCTTAAAATATTTCCATTCTTACCATGCCTACCTCATAAACTTTTAAGTTTTCCTACCCCATAATTTGTTTTATTATGAGTAACTCAACAAAGTGGGAAGGGCAGACCCCAAATTTTCATTGACCTGTTTCAAGAATATTTATAAGTAGTTGAACAACACATCTGTGCTTTGCTTTTCAGCAGGTTCAAATAAATTTGGGGATAGAAAGGGATGAAGAGGGTCAGAGGAATCTACACACACACACACACACACACACACACACACACACACACACACACACACACACACACACACACACATCCAATCTTAACTTACAAAGTTCCTAAGTTAAACCCATCCTCCAATGACTGACACAATGAAATATTGGTTACAGAACATTCTACGCCAGTTTCTGGCCATTCCTAATGAAGTTTGGGTAAAACAATACGTAGAAACCAATCTCTGCCCACAGCATTATCTTAGACTCAAAATTGTGAGGCAACTAGTCCTTAAATCATTTCTCATGCAACATCTTCTTTTGCATTCAGTTCCACTGATACATCCTTCCCATTTTACCTATCAACCCGAAACTTCCATGAAGGACCCCTGTAGATTAAATGCCACCTTCCTAATTGCTCTCCTATAGTTTTACACTATTCCACCAAAATGCGCACATCTGTTTGCAATAGTTAACAAAACATTCCTCTGCTAACGTCGTTATAAACCTTAACAACTCAACTAGAGGAGAGAGAGGAATTTTCTCATAACCACACACAATTCATTCAGTTGCTATTCTCTTTTCCAGTTACCAGAAAATATCAGAGCTGCCACCACGGCTCACACTAGATGTTCAACATTATTAATTAAGAGCTCCAGCAGGAAGGATACAGAACACACATTTTGGAGAGTTCCTGGAATATTTTTAAATGTACTTATATTTTCCACTTTCGTTTTCTGTTTGTCTAACTTTATCTTGCTAAGTTATAAAGACTTTATATCATATATCACCAATTTATGTAAGACAAGTGTCGTAACCACACTGTTTATTTTTCTATAAAATTGGAATCACAACTGAGTACCTGTTCGTTAGCTACATATTAAGTGAAAAGGATTTCTTGCTATAAAACCAGATCGAAGTACATGATTTATGAAAATGTGTTCCAAGAAACACTAATGTCGGCAAAGTTAAACTCTGTATGTGTGTGTCTACCCGGAAACTCCGTATTTCATAAAACCTTCCAGGAAGTGACTATGTTGCTCTACTTTAATTACGAGTTCTATCCTTGAAATATTGAGAGGACATGATCATTCAAAGTGTACATGAAATTATTGGGATTCTTCTACTTGAAGTTCATTTATGTATGTAAGTTCTGGGGTAGAAAAATAATATATGCCACATCGATGAAATGAATACTATTTTCTTCTATTTCTATTCTGGCCCCTTTTGATCAAAAGTCATAGAACTAATTATTTACAAACATAAAAGTGGAAAATTATCAACCCCAGTATTAAAAAAAAGTTGTTTTTATAGAGTAGAAAAATCCTTCAAAATCCTAATATAAGCTTAGTAGGTGACAAAATTGAATTTGCAAGCCTCTTTTATTCTTCCAAATTGTGTAGCAACTTGGTGGAGTCCCACTGTTTGGGAGAGAGTTAGGATGAAGCTGGAGGAAGACTTTGCTGGCTCAAGGTCTTCCAGGACCATAAACCCTCCAGCAGTGACTTTCCTTCCTGGTGGTGATGTTTGTTTCTCTTCCTAGTCAGGTTAGCCACGGAGGATGCATTAAAACTGCTTGTGTGAGTGAGTGCATAGGCATTTGAAATGCATCTACTCTGTTTCTCATGCTTTGCAAACCAACAGTGCCCATGTCTGAACTGGTTACAAAAAAAAGGAAGCTGGGCTCTCCGTCATGATATGGAGGAAAGGCAGCTTTAAATCACTAAGTGATGACTATCAGGAACGCTGATCTGGTTTAAACATACACTTACTCTCAGGTCTGGGGCTTCTCGGACAATTTATTTTATTAGCTATACTGATTGAGCTCTTTATTTCTTCATATCCTTTGGCACTTAAAATACAAACAAAGGTGGCATATTGCATTAATTTTAAATATTTACCTGCATGTAGACATCTTAACAAAACAAGGATTTTGTGAATAACAAATGCCAAGAATAAGATTTTCTGTGTGCCATACTGTATATAGTAAGTTGTTCGTTTTTTACCAAAGGATGCTTTTGCTTTGTGTTGTTAAGAAATAGATACATTTATTAATTTTAAAGTTTTCTGAATAAAAATGATTATGTCCTATGTTCTAGAAAGGACAGAATTTAATACTATTCTATCGATTATTTTAAATGCTACTACTCAAAAGTATTAAAAATTGTACAAATCAATATCACATGTTCTCATTTAACGCTGCAATACAATATTACTTGTTTGGAATATTCTGTGTGGTTAGACTGTTTGAAGCATGTTAGAAAATGCCGTTCTGCAGACATATCAATAGTAATAAAGCTTTGGTTATTTTGGAGTTTTGGTAAGAATTTAAAACTTCTTTCATGAGATTAGATGCATAATTTTCAAGTTGTTGAATGGGTGGGTTCATTTTTCATTTGCCCAGCATGTTGACAGAATGTCAACTCTACAGCTAGTCGTGAAGATTTATTAATCTGTTCTGCCATCGTCTGGGAACTGCAGGAAACAATGTTGATACAGAGAGGTTAGAGCCAGAAAACTTTAGAGCTCTCTAGATTATTTTAGGCTCACTGAAAAATTCATCTGAGGCAAGATAGGTGGGACTAGGAGACAAGGAGGGTTCTGGGGATGTAGTAGAGAGTCAAGATGTAGGGACTTGAGAAGAAAGTCCGGACCCTCTCTCCGGTAAGATAGGGCCACAAGGATGCACTTAGATGAATAAAAATGGGTTAATATTTAAGACACAGCTAGCCAATAAGAAATGCTAGTAGCTGGCCAACAGCTTTGGATCAAAAAATAAAAAATAAAATAAAAATAAAGAAAGAAAGAAAGAAAGAAAGAAAGAAAGAAAGAAAGAAAGAAAGGCATTCATCTGAACTAACTTTAACAAAGACAGGAACATTTAGACCTTACCTCACCTCAAACAATGGGTTACCACAAGTGTGTGTGAGCTCAGTTAGTGCTCCAGGCTGGAAAAACTGGACTTAGCACTTAGAAATCAATCTAAAAATTACATAAACATGGTCGTCTTTTCCTTTTCTTCTGACAAGGTCCCACTCGGCAGCCTAGGCTGGCCTGGGCTCACTATGTTGCCCAGGCTAGCCTCAAGTTCACAGCCTTCCTGCCTCAACCTTCTATGAGTTGTGATTACAGGCACTTTCTTCTCTTTTTTATTCTTTGTGTTAAGATAATGTTTTTTCATCAAAGAAAGAGGCTGTGTTTTCAATTCATTTTCCAGAGAAATGGCAGAACTTGTCAGAGCTGCCACACCATAGCTCCTTTTCCCTTAGAAATCTAACTTGACACAGGGTTTCTTGTGTGGTCTGTGACCAGGACATAGTATGTTTTCACTCCCTCTTCACCTGCCTAATGCCACTATAGTGACCAAACCTAGGAAGGCTCATAGAATCATAAAACAGGCGTTGTCACCACAGGGTACCATCACATCATGTAAGCAGCTCACTTCAGCCAATCAGATTCCAGGAATTTGAGAACTGGTTACCTGCAAAGTTCTACTGGCATTTCTGCATATACTATAAAAGTTGGTGGCAACTATCCTGTCAGTATTTTGCATGATAATTACCTAGGGCTCTGGTTGAAAACATAGCTTTTCATTCTGTATACCTGGCTTAAGACCAGGGTTGTCTACATTTCTTACAAGGGATGCTGGAGCATACTTTGAATAGCAAGACCTTGAATGGCATCAGAAACACGCAGGCAAGCACCAACATCCTTCCTCACCCCCAAATGAATGAGGTATTAGAAATAAAGAGTACTTTCCCTATGAAATTTCAGATCATCTTTGATGATAGCAAAATCGGCTGTCCTTATAGTCATTTATTTTTCCAGTTCTTATGTAGCTATATATTTAGTGTAAGGAATTATACACGTGCTATTGCGCATGTGTGGAAGCCAGAAGACGCCTTGTAGGAATTGATTCTCTCCTTCTACCATGTGGTTTCCAATCAGGTCTTCCGGCCTGGTAGCACTCTATGAGCACCTTGCTGGCCCTTCCCACCCCTACTGTTTTTAGTGTGGCATGGGAAGGTTTTCTACGCAGACTTAAAACGCGTACATAGAAATAAATGACCAAAGATTTGAACCCTAAACAACCTTCAAGAGGGTTTACGTTCAGAGCATCATTTTTACAGGGGAGTGAGAAACTTGAGTGGCTGGGTTAACTGTTTCTGCTGTTGAATGAAAAACTGCACAGATGACATTTGAACACAATCATTGTTGGTTTTAGGCTGTCGCCAAGTTAATGTCTGTGGACTGCCGCTGCCATGGGGTTTCCGGCTCCTGTGCTGTCAAAACCTGCTGGAAAACTATGTCCTCTTTTGAAAAGATTGGGCATTTTTTAAAGGATAAATATGAAGACAGCATCCAGATTTCAGACAAAACCAAGAAGAAAATGCGCAGGAGAGAAAAAGATCAGAGACAGACACCCATTCACAAGGATGACCTGCTGTACATTCATAAGTCTCCCAACTACTGTGTGGAGAACAAGAAACTGGGCATTCCTGGGACACAGGGCAGAGAGTGCAACCGTACATCAGGAGGTGCTGATGGCTGCAACCTCCTCTGCTGTGGCCGAGGCTACAACACCCATGTGGTCAGGCACGTGGAGAGGTGTGAGTGTAAGTTTATCTGGTGCTGCTATGTCCGCTGCAGGAGGTGTGAAAGCATGACCGATGTCCACACTTGTAAGTAACGTCTCCATCCAGGCTAGCATGAGACTCCTCAGGAGCAGCCAATGGTTGCAATCTGGAGGGCGCTCCCTGCACGGCTGCAGAAGTCACTGCCTGCAATCCAATTGCAGATCCCTGGGCTAACCTGCGATTTCTTCCTTCTGATCGACATCAAATCACAAGATGATTGTGGAGACTGCTTGGGATTCTAAAGTTGGAAGGGTTGGCAGTTACCTTTGGATGGTTTTGGGAATAGACACTGATATATAGGGAACATCTATCCAGCAAGGAAGGAAGGAAGGAAGAGAGGGAGGGAGGAAAGGCAATAAAGAAAAAAAGCCCTTATCCAGGAGGCCTGGTCCAGGCTCAGGATAAGAGCATAGCCCAGGACACAGATACACAAATCAGTCATGGTGCGTGCACAGCCATCATTTTTTTAAAAAAGACATCTCTTATGGGAGCACGGAGCAGTACACACGATTTTCATTTTCTCTCAGTATTTTAACAGAATTAATTATACCAAGTATTTGTACATAGACAGAAGAGGCTGAAAATTAACTAAGGGAAGAATGCTTGCGTTATCCTTTCACAGACTGCAAAAGGAAAGCCATTGAAAAGAATCCTCACTAAGAGATAAAATGTCCCTTTTAAAGCATTTTTAAAGATGCTAAGCAATAAATAAGAAGAACCAAAATGTAAGAAGTAAAGCATGAACTGGATTTTTAAGTGCCTTTAACCAAGAGGTTTTGTCTAGGGAGTGAAAAGAAAATCTGTAAAGTTTATCTCATTTTCAGTCTTTGGATTTATCCTTTTATTGTAGACCAGTTTCTACCATTAAAAATTCAACTGTGAAATACTGGGAGGTGAAATTCTTAAAAAGAGATGAAAAAATGGAAGTAAAAATATAAAGCCCCTCAAGTATTTAAAGACAGTATTTTGTACAGTATTTTGCTTTAAAAGTTTTATATTTTGTAAATATAGTATTTAACTTATGTGACATACATTAAGACTTAAAGACATTTAAACTCTTAGAGTGCTAGAATAATGAGGTTATGTCGAGAAATAAGAATAGTCCTCTTTTCCATACCACTAATTCATTCTTAAAACATTGAAAAGGTAATTGAGGCAGTTGCCTGGGTGTGTATTTCTTGCCAAAATGACAATTCTCCTCCCTCTTAAAAAAAAAAAAAAAAAAAAAAAAGAAAGAAAGAAAAAAGAAAAACCAAAGCTGTTTTTGGTTGTTTGTCCTTGTTTTTTTTTTTCCAAGACATGGTTTCTCTGTGTAGCTCTGGCTGTCTTGAAAATGACAGTTTTTCTATGCTCTAGAGTAAAGTTATGTTACAAAATATTAAAAATCGTGTTATTTCGGGAGGCAGATAATTGAATTCTCTTTTCCACCTTATCTCTGCTTTATTATAACAAATTTAATAGTAAGGTATTAGATGGAAAAATAATCTAAGGCAGAATAACTTGATATCCTGGGTTTGTAGTATGTTTTATGCAAGGGTTGCCTTCCTGTTTGAATGTTGAATGTTGTTTTTCTGTTTCCTTTCATTTTTCCTTTGGACCTAAGAACAGAAGCCAGGGTTCTTGCTAAGTGAGCACTCTACCACTGAGCTGAGTCCCCAACGCCTCAGTCTTATTTTAATATCCACATAGGTTTGTTCGTATTTCACAAGATATCTAGTAAAACATTGCAGGGCTGCATTTAAGGTTTATTTTAATGTAAATGCTTACACTTTCATACTTGGTTAACTATCTTAGAATTTACATGGAAAAATAGGTTTTTCTAAGCTCAGGATGGATGCAAAGAATGTTTTTTATTAATAAGAAATATTTATCAACAATTTAATGTGTTTTCTATTAATTATTTTAAACCAACTGAGCAACAATTTGAGAAGCAAAACTATGGAAGGTATCTAGAATTTGGGTGTTAAAAAATGAAGTTTGCACATTTAACTGTGACCCTTCAAGTCTAACAGTTACTGTTTGCTAAATGAGAAATACGGATGTGGCAAATGAACAGACACCAGGCTAATGTGAAACACCCCGTTATTCTCTGGCTATAATGTGGAGTGGGGCATTCTGTTCTCTTTTTGCAAACTAAATTATTGCATTGGAAATAATCACCCTTTAAGAGAGAAAGACTATAGAACATTAACACATTCAACTAATTAGAAAGCTTTTCATATTACCCTATCACCTGAGAATCAGTTAACCTCTGATTCACAAAGCGGAGCCCAGCCATGCCTAAACCCAACGCCGCGCCGGGGCCCCCCCGCGGAGCCAAGGAGTAATGCCACGGGGCCCCACCTTCGACACCCCCCACCGTAGCTCCAGCCATTGCTTTAGACTGGACCAGAGGAAGCATTATCAGTAAGTGTCTGCCCTAGTCCTTAGGCTCAGGTCCACCATCACTCCCATCTGATTTCTGGCAGTGTCCTGAATGCCAGGCTCTGTAGCTGTTTGCCTCAAATTCTTGCACCCTGGGCAGCTCCATCTCCGATCTCTTGGTCACATGACCATCACATTTCCTGACCTAATCTTTTAAGGAAAAACAGAGGCCATTTTCTTACATACACTGAAGACAGGAGAAAGATTTCCTTCTCAGAAGGTCTGGCAAAAGTCTTCTGAGTTGGTGTTTGCATTGACTGGTTAAATGTGCTTATATCTGTGAGGTGGGTGTGGGCAACAGGCATTCTTATCTGTCTAGTGGCAATCTGAGTCCTTGATGGGCACCAGCAGTAGGTTTCAACTACAACTAGTTTAGGCAGTTTGAGACTAAGGAGGAGAGGATTATGTAGAGGAAAACCAGGCCACTGATTTACCAGGAATGACCACCATGCCTAGTTCTAGTGATGTGCTTGCAGGGTCTGGCCTCACATAGAACTCATAGCCAGACAAAGCAAACCCAAATACAGTGGACTCTATATGTGGGAGCATGTATTATTTTTTCAACTTAAGAGTTTAAGTCTTTGTTATTGTTGTTTCTCTGATTTGAAACTAACAAGAGACAATGAATCATCTTGAAATTAAGGAAAAATAAACCAGGTATGGTAGCATACACTTTTAATGCCAGCACTGGAAGGTGGAGGCAAGCAGATCTCTGAGTTCCAAGACAGCCTTTTCCAGTCTAGCCATGGCTACATAGTGAGATTCTATCTTAAAAAATAAATAAATAAATAAATAAATAAAATAAGGAAGAGCATATTGAACAATAGCATTATCTGTAACCTCTGCTTTAGGACTATGGAAAGTATTTCTCTGATAACAGCACACTAGAGAACCTATTCATTCTTTTGAATGTAAACAACCACAGTATTCTCTACTCCTAAGTTGGATGGTGTTTGTTTTGATAGTTTAAGGAACTACACATGATACCAAGAATAAGGGCATTTCATTTTGTATGTTTGCATGCTATGATTTCACATGTCCTTGCACCTTTAGAACCATGTGACACTCCCAGTACATATTTCTGAAATACATTTGTTCTGAAGTGTTGTTAGTACTGATATGTTCTGTTGTATAAAGATCAGTACTGAAGATTTAACTGTGGCCCTTAAAATTCAACGAAGTTACTTTTTATTAAATGAGAGGCATGGAGGCCAGCCCTTTGTGAGTTGCTGCTCGTTTTTGTATCACCTCCCATAAGTCCTCAGAAACTGGAAAATAAGGCACTAGTTACTTAGGTCCTCACTCAAAGCCCTGTGATCTGCTAAGCAGATGTGATGCAGTTCTGACTCTTTCTCCAAGAACCACAGATAATCCCCAAGATAAACCTTTCTAAGGAAATCTAAGTTACACTGATTCTTGCTTTAACTTCAGTTTTACTATGCAGCAAGTGTAGCACGCTTTGGATAAAGAGCAGTGCTGTGTTATAGCATGAAAGGGGACAAAGTGGGACACTGTAGAGGCATCCTGCTTTGCCAGTGAACTTGCAGTGGTGACCACAATCTATGGGTGAGGCTTTTGTTCAGACATGACCTTATAAGGAAGAGGAGGGGCTGGCTCAAACTCTTGAGTTGCCATGTAGCCAATGAAGGAATAACATGCTGAAGTCTTAGGGGTAAGTCACAGCCTCGTGGTAATACATTGTTTAATAGAAATAGGTTAATAATTAAGATAGAGCTAGCCAATAAAAAGCCTAAGCCGTTGGCCAAAGAGTTTACAAAAAATATAAACCTTTGTGTATATATTTCGGACTAAAGGGCTGCTGGGCCTGGCAGGGCAGAAATTCAGCTTCAGAATACCAGAAAGAGAGATGAAAGAGTCTCATTCCCTTTGAACGCAAATATAACTTTAGTAAACAAGTTGATAGCGTTTGCTGTATAGTTGGCATGGGCCAAAATAAATATCATTCATATACATATATATGTATTAAATTTCACTCATATATATTCTTCACAATATAAATTAGGCACTGTTATTGTGGCTCCATTTCTCAGATGAGGGAAGTAAGCGCAGTAACCGTCAGTCAAGTAGCCCCTCATGCTCAAACAGGATGAACCAGCTACATCTGTGCCCTCCATAGCCACTCTTTTCCTGTGTATCTCATGGGATCCCAATCATCAGTGGACTAGGTTTACACCATGTAAAGACTTTGAGGGATCTGTTTAAGTATAGTCAAATTATAGATGTTCTTCATAGTTTGGCTATATAAACTTGGTTAAGGAGCTCAAAGTGCCTGAAGCTAGCCTCTATTTCAGATCTCCACAGCGCTAACAGTTGGATTACCCAAGAAGCTATCAGTCTTCCAAGAAGAAATGATCTGAGTAAACAGCAAAACGATTTAAGTCAGCATAAAATAAATATACCCTTGCTGATGTGTGTGGAGCCGACTGCTTCACAAGGTATTCTTTTTAGAAAATAGATAACATTGGTGGTTTCTAATGGCTTATCTTCATACAAAAAGTAAAAATCCGGAAAGGGGCGGGGGAGGGAGTTGCACCAGGCTAAAGCTTTGAAAGGAAATGCTAGAGAAAGTAACCCTCTGAGTTACCCTCAAGAGAGGACAGCACCAAATAAGAAGCGAGTCGACACAAACCAAGGTTCACACGTGTCTTTTAATGAACGGTTAAGGGGAAGCATCGGATTTCTAAGAATTGGGAGCAAACTGTGGTGGGACAAAGACTGTCCATTCCCTGTGACTGACCTCCATAGCTGCCAAGAAACATTAGTAACAACCTAACAGCTGTATCTACCTAGTTCTGGGTATCTGTGATCACAAAAGGTAAGCCTGTGTCCCCAGTGAGTCTTTCTGATGAGTGAAGGCCATCACTGTGTTTTATTGGATACTTCAACACAACTTAAACGCTAAGGCAAGCTGGGCGCGGGGTCACACAATTTAAATCAAGCATCTCCTTTTTCTCAGTACATAATCTCCATTCTTCACTAGCCCTATGCACTGCCACTCTCACATCTTAAACTCTCCAGAACACTAATATTTGCTCAGCTCAAGCTCTTTGGGAAAAAAAAAATAGCACACAGTAAGATAGGAAAATAGGAAAACTGAAGTCAATGGGATGGATACATAGTCTCTGACAGGCCTTCTATTTAATGAGTAGAAGATGATTTCACAAAAAAAACTAATTTCATTATTTTGAGAAATTCTTCCCTTTGCCAATTTGAAAATGTTTTCTCTCTTCAAATAACCAACCTATTATTTCCCAAAATACTACTTTAAACTTCATTGACTAAATATAGAAACCGCAAAATTCTAGTTGCCACAATACCTGCCACCGTGTCCCATACCCATGGGATTTAGAACCTATTCCAGAATACTTCCATAATAGAATTTTGACAGCTACTTGCAAAATACACAACTGACCATTCTGCTGGCTTTCAACCTCTTTCTCACCAAGAGTTCCCAATTTCTGTATGAGTCTAGGAACAGGCTCACTCGCTCATCCATTGTCTCACACCTTCAACCTGCTAAAGAGCAGAAAGCCACTGGAGGCAGAGTACACTGTCTACAGCAGGGACCTACATCCTATTCCTCACACCTAAGGGAACTCACCAACTGATGCTCCTACTCTGTATGCTTGGACTTTCCAATTTACAGGCACGACTGACTTAGTCTAAGAACTGAACATACCCAGATAACAGTGTCCAACATAATTCACATTTAAATCTTTCCTATGCTCAGAGCTGAACACTCAAGACATTCTTGCTGTTCATTTCTGTTCAAAGAATGCAGGTGTCTAATCAGGTTCCCAACAGAACTAAAACTAAGCACAGCGGTTTTAGAGCTGAACTTGAAAATTATTGATTTCCATGTCAATGTCATCATGTGTAAACGATAATGCAAAACTTGACATTTAGTTTTAGAGTAAGACACCAAGAGTCCCATTGGACTCTTAGGTAAAAGCTGGATCCTGGGGTGAATGTTAACTTTCCTTTGCTTGAAGGGGCATCTCTACAGAAGAAAACAATTCTGTTTGGTAATAGTACATACAATGAGCCATCATATTTCACTGGCAATGCAGAAAAGCAAGACATGAGACAATTCACTGTCCTTAGGTTGAGTTTGTTTATATGAAGCTGTGTCTGGTGGCACCAGCCTCACAGGTAAGGCATTTGGTTGACACATTGTGGAAAATGCCCTTGGAAATCCCCCAAAGCAAACAATAGCAATAACAAAAGTTTCAAAATCCCCATCTAAGAACCTCCTTCATAGGCTCTTCTAAGCAAGAGGCAAGTCCTAGAGGGCCTGCCACTGAACCCCCTTGTCTCCCTATCCCTAATACTTTATCTTATTGCCCTGCAGCCAGGTTTTAGGATTGGGGACCAAGGTCTGTGTTCCCTACAAGATTCCTTACAAGTTCATGCATACTAGCTTGGCAAGCAGAGCCCTTTGTATTGGATTTGAAATACTGAGCACCTAGCAAGAAATGAAATCTTGGATTCTGCATGAGATGGGTCCCTTGGCATTCAGAGTAATGAACGAGATAGGATGTGAAAGTCAGTCAGAACCTTGGAGATCAAAGATGGCCTCACGTGTAGCTGCATCTCACCCATTAATGAGGTCACTGACTCATTACTGATTCCTTTCTGGCTTAGAACTGGTAAGGTAGAGATGTACACACTTGGTACTTTTCTGCATCTAAGTCTGCAAGAAGTATGGGTAATAACAGTAACTGGATTTAATGGGTATTTTATCCTTTGACTGGCACCATAAAAACTCTAGTACTATCTACATGTTTTACAAGAAATTGACAATATTCACACCATAATAACCAGTGGACACACAAAGCCACCTCAGGCACTTCTGGGGCGTTATACCATAACTGCACTACTTCCTCTTACAGAATTCCCCCCTTTAAGGTTTCAGCACTCTTCTGATTACCAAGGTTAGCAAATAGAAGCTAATTCTATGAAATGTTAGGAGCTTGCATCGAAACTCTCTACTCATACAGCCTCAAGTTCTCTCCATGCTCAGTGCACTACACGCTGCCAAACTGATGCCGAGCTGGACAGTGAGTTTAGTTCAGCAGCAAGCAGTACCTGTCAGCTCAATGGGCTGGCAATTCTCCTAATGCTAACAACATGGTTATGGGACAAACTGAAGATAAACGGCTGCTACCTAACCTCAGGGCTGACCAATCCCTTCCCCCTTCGACCACCACGGAAGCACTTTCTCCATAGAGTGCTTTCAATGTGTACTGGAGGAAGACTTAAGAGTCCCCAAGGTGTCTTCACCAGCCTCAATCCTGTCCTTGGATGTTCCATTATACTACGTGACAGCAACCAACTGCCATTCCCTAAGCCTGATTGCTTTTTATCCCATCTTACTCTTGATTTGATGGAGGCCGAGAGTTTCAAGAAGGAATAAGAGGAGAAAGAAGGGATTTGGGAGGTGGGGATTGTCTGATGATTTGGCATGTGAACCTTTAGGAATGCTCTAGAAAGGGTAAATTCCGTCCCTAGCTTCTGCAGCTCCACAGGTATGAATTTGAAGAGGTGGGAGTAACAGGTTGAGTGGCAAATCTTTTACCCAGTCAACAAGTATTTCCCCTGCTTTCGTACCCACTTGAAAAAGATGTCAAATGTGTTTTCACTTAAACTGCTTTGCTCATTGAGCACAGTGCATTTCTCTTCTTTTTCTTTAAAACATACTAGGAGAGAGGGCTGACAAAACAAAATGAACAATGAGTCAAATTACAATTTGTATAGACCTTTGAAATATAAAACACAAGCTAAATTATCATAAAAATTGCAAAATATTGGCTGATTTATTTCAAAACAAATATAGCAAAATGATAATTTTACTTGAACCAAATTAAGAATATAAACGTTCTCTTTATTATTCTTATTTCCCAGATATCTGCTTATTTGCCCCTTCCTTTCTGTTTCCACACCCACCTCCCACACCTCTGCTACGATTACAACAGATCTGAATCTGCAGAGCCTCTCCCATCACTTGAACGAGTACATGTTAGTTAGAGCTTTGATTTTAATAAAAAAAAGTCCAGACATTAAATGAGCATCCTTCCACTTCTAAGGCTCATGTGAAAGTAAAACAGTTGGTTATTGCTTCCAGATTTAAGCTGGTGCAACCAGTAAAAGACGGGATCCAGACAGAAATGACTGCACGGTAGCAGTTACATAACCAATCATCTCACACCTTCTAACATTTTATGCAACTGTAAAACCCATATAGCCAGTCTTTAAAATTCAAAGGCATAGCCTGTTGTCAAGCAACTTAACTTCTACACATGTTCAAATATATACACAGTATTACTGTGTTTAATGGCAGAGACTTACTTTTTTTTAAAAATATGTTTAGGAAGTATAAAAATGGCAAAAAAAAAAAAAAGATATTTATGTGATGTTCTACAGGTACAGTATATGCTTTTTGAAATACACATACACACACCAACACACATACCCAAATTCACAATGTGAAACCAAGAGTACTTACATTATTAAAAAGCAAAACAAAACAACCCCCCCCCAAAAAACCTGCAACATTTATTTTCCAATCCCCAGAAACTGTAAAATGGCTTACAGAATCAAGGGAAATACTTTACATGTCAGAACATACATGCTGGATTCGAGTTAGTATAGAAGCACCAGAACTCTTAAAAGTTTACAAAACTTGTCTGAACAAGAAAGACGTGTCTCCTTATGACCTACTACATTCACTGTGTGGAAAGAAACAGTACCACAAGGTCAGGAATGGTCAAGAAATATCTGAATTGCTTCCAGCTTTTTAACAAAATGGCAAATACTGCTTTTCTGATTTTTATACAAACCACCTAAATTTTAGGTTCAAATTTTAAGTGTTGCCTCATCCCACAAAAGGCAACATGAGCACTACATTTGTTTAAGCGGCATTTTAAACTATTCCAAATATGCTGCATACGGTAGGTATTTAGTGCTTTAATATCGCAATTAGGACTTTTTAAATGTTCTGTTACAATGTCAGGCAACAGTTGCTATTATGAAGTTAGAAGTAAATAACAGACTTTCTTGGTTTACAAATCAAAGCTATGATTAAAGTACTCCTCTTGTAAGACCATGACATCAGAGAAGGTAACAAAGTAGACAAATGCCTGCATTATCTATCCTAACTGCACTAACCCACTTTCTTGGATGACCCGACTGGTTGAGGAAGGGACTTGGCCTGGTTCTCTTACTCTAATAGCTTATACAAAATCACATACTTCACGCTGCTAACACAAAATCTACAAGATGAGTCCCAAATGACTCCTACATTAGTGTTCATTTTCAATGTTTTAAAACATAATTTTTGTGCTTTTCACAAATCTGATGAAAATTTTCGTGTGAAATATTTTATTTCTTGGTTTCTTTGGAAGGAAAAATAAAGACTATGAAAAGAGGTACACCAGGAGCCAGACTGTACGATAACATTACACATACAACTAGCCAAAAATCTCTTTAATTTAAAGGATACTGTCAGCACATGCCAGCTATCTATACAGAGACATACGTATGAACAAAATTTCCTCCCTAAAAGGCATGTTTTTCCATGATAGAGTTTCACAGCAATGAGAACATAAATCAGTGTCCTGTACAATCTTCTGGTTACCCACCGAATATGCTTTTAGGACTAAAGTACATTATTGCCACTGAAGTCTAAACATTGTACTTTTAGGGAAATGTGCTTAAAAATGGTTTGGTGATTTGTTCAGTATGAGGGCTATTTACAAAGGTAGCCACTTATGTTAGCAATAAATAATCCTGGAATCAACAGAGACGATCTTGCTCATGCACACCCTGGCCGGCCGCATGCTACTAAAATATGTACACGGAGCGGCTGCTTTACAGCCCTCCTTCGGAATCAAAGTGCATCTTCTCGTCTTCACATTCCCTTCAGTCCTGCTTCTGGGGGATGCATCCTTCCATCTCCACCACCTCAGGCCATCCTTCGTACTTGTTTGTGTCCTTATTGTTCTTTATGTGCTGAGGGGACACAATGACAGTCCACAGCTTAACAAATGTTTGTGATTTTCTAACCCACTCACTCCCATTTCAGTAACACTAGCCAACAACGAGGTGACATAAATTACAGCCCAAGATATTAAATGAGTGACCCTTGTGGGCAGGCAGCAATATGGCAAACCTTCAAACAAAATGCTTGTATGGAAAAAAAAAATCTACGAATGTTTTTAAAGGGTTATTTGTCAAAAGGATTCCATTCTATCTGAGATCTGAGATATTTGTGAATTCAGCTGATTCTAACACTGGAGCATAACTGAAATCCATAATAATGGACTGTGATAATGCATTGTATAAGAGGGAAACAATTTTAATTTTTATTAAAAAAATTAAAGTCATCATTATTTTATTTACCAAGAACTTACAAACACTATCTGAACACATTCACTATTTGCTTAATCTAATTTTATTTTCTTTTGAAGGGGGCGGGGGATAGGATTTGATATCAGGCTTCTTTATATAGCCCTAGCTGCCATGGAACTCATTCTGTAGACCAGGCTGGCCTCGAACTCAGAGACCCACCTGCCTCTGGCTCCTGAATGCTGGAATTAAAGGAGAGCTTCAATTTAATCTTACTTTCAAGTAACTGGTGTGAGAATATTATATGAGAAAATTTCACTAATTTTCTCTTGCCCATTAGTTATGAACGTCTTAGACACTAACCTGTTCAAAGGGGCTCTTTGTCTTAATGCCCTTCCCACCACAGAAGACCCAGTTATCTCGAAACCCAAGGCTGGTGATAGATGTGCTCCCCAGCTCAGCAATGAGCCGCCGCGCCTCATCAGTGAGCCTGAAAGAGAGGACAAGACATAAACAAGGGCACTGCACTGTTTTAAAGATTTATTTATCATGTATACAGTGCTCTGCCTACACATATGCCTGCAGGCCAGCAGAGGACACCAGGCCTCATAGATGGTGGTGAGTCACCATGTGGTTGCTGGGAATGGAGAGGAGCCATCTCTCCAGCCGGGCAAAGCACTTTATAAATACTTGCTGAGAGACTCATTGAATATGAGGGTGAAACATTTCAGATTCAATCAGAGAATATAAAAAAAAAAACAATGAATACATTAAAATAAAGTCTAAAACAACATTCCTACTCGAGGTCTTTAATGATGAAAGCAAAAGTCAAGAAGCAAGCGGTTAATTGGAGAGCATCTGGTAAACATCTGTATTTCCTAACAGTTTGTCTTCACCTGGTGAAGTACATTCATCAAGGGAGGCCATGGCCCTGCTAACAGACGCCTACAGGGCTATCCAGGTGTTATGCAATCAGTGTCTTCACTCACTCTCCATCAAACCCTTTGTGAAATCCATGGGAATGGAAGAGAAGTGAATGCTGATGGATGCTAGAGGCTTCTTAGCACTGTCTTTTAGTTAAAACAGATTTTGAGAATAGATATATTATAAATTGCACTTTAGTTATTTAATAAAAGTGAATGTAGGAACCATGTGAGGGCTAAATGTTTACCAGAAAGGCAGTGACAAAAATCAGCCTCCAGACAAACTCTCAACTGAAAGATGCCTCTAAAAATATCTGTGAAGATCACGGACATGTTGAGTGATTCTCTGCCTTGTCTCACAAAGAGCAGAAACAAAGGAGATGAGCAGTAGCTATAGAGCTAGAAAAGGAAAACTAAGGGTCAGGTACACAGGCTACTTGACATGAATCCCTGCAACAGAAGCAAACAAACCACCACCGACAACCAACTTTTATAGATAGTCCTGCTAGACCCGAGACAGCACGTGCCACCTGAAAACGGCATAAAGGACAACCAACGAGGGAGGGGCTGATTCACGCTGGCACTAGACGTCAGCTCTGTAATGCCTTAATGAACAAAACGCATCTTACGCTGACCTTAAAGATAAGTGGGTGCTTTGCATTTAAAAGGGGAGCTTTATAAAATATGAAACACACTGCTGTAAGAGTCAACAGTCACATCTATAGGACACAGGGGCTGTTTCAAACACGGCTTGAATGCCGTTGTCGCCCTGGATGAACTTCATTGGAATCTGTGAGAAAATAAGCCCATAGAACACACAGCCTGTCAGACTCACTTCTGAAAATAATGCAATGTGAGCAAGTGAACGGAACAAGGGGAATGTAATGTCTGATATTCAAAAGGAGCCCACGAGAATGGAAAACAATAATAAATAAATGTTTAAAGGGATTGGAGAAAAGGAGCAGTAGCTAAGGGCTGGCGTAGCACTTGCAAAGGACTCAAGTTCAGTTCCCAGATGGGTGGTTCCCCCATGGGTAGCTCACACGTGTAACTTCAGTCCTAGGGGATTCCAAGCCTCTGGCCTCTGAAGGCATCGGTATGCATGTATACACACGTGTACACGCACCCACATGCATATATGCATGCGCCATCCAAGCCTCTCAGAGACCTGTGCATGGATGGTGCTCATATGCTTCTGGCCCAGCCTCACGGGTTCAGCCATCACTTCCCATGGTTCGCCTGTGTACAGCACCTTCTGCACTGGAGGGCAACTCTGAAAGGACCGCTGAGCCCTGTTTCCCAACATCATGGTTCCTGTACATGTGCAGTTTCACTATGTGCTCTATTTTCTGGCTACTTTCAAAAAAGAATTCTTTGCTTCTGTCAGCACAACCAGGTGATATGGGGAGAAGGATAAAGCACTGCAATGTGGATGGCAGGCAGTAGGCCCACTACTGTAGTAGGGTGTCAACATCACTGCTTCCTGAGAGAGCCACAGGACTCCGTTCACATTTGTTCCTCAGAAAAAGTACAGTTTGCAATCTTGGTTAAGTTGGAATAACAAATGTTAAATTCACAAACAATGGTAACAACTGCCCCCCAAATAACTGCCATCCAAATGCAGATATGTTCCTATTTTAAAAAATAGAAAGTAAAATATTTCCTAGTATACATGAACTAAAAGCATATATACATATATGTACATAGACGTGTGTGTGTGTGTGTGTGTGTGTGTGTGTATTGAAGGGGCAGTCAATCGTCTTTGTGTACTTGTGAATTTCACAAGTGAACATGATGATCCATGTGAATAAACCTTGCCAAGTTAGCCAGAGCGAGAATCAACTTGATTTCATTAACTCCTGCATTTTCTATAGGAACATTATGACGTTCTTATGCAGAAAGGAAATAACATAAAAGACCTGAGTTATCCTCAGAAATGCCTGCCAGCGAGACCGTCATTGCTGGCATCTGGACCCTTGGGTCTGAGAAGAGCACCTACCCTTCCCAGAACTGTCCCTGTGTGCACAAAGGATGCCAGCTCAGCTAGTCAGCTTTCAGGTCAGTAAGAAGCCCTGTCTCAAGGCAATAAGTCAGAGAGCAATAGAAGACGAGACAATATATACGGGGGTCAAAATATCTTCTCTTTAAAAGCCCAGAATAATAAATACAGTATAAAACTTGGAGGTACAAGTTTTTTGTTCTGAATGAAGTATTAAGGACTTGCTGTGTGTTTTGGTACTTACGGTATTAACTAGCTGAGTTCTCTGAAATTGATGCTTTAAAAGCTAAAGAGATGGCCTGGTGGCTAAGAGTTCACGAGGACCTGAGTTTGAGCCTCACTCTGTCATTAAAAGCCACATACATCTGTATCCCTGGTGCTGGGGAGAGCGTGGAGGCCACAAGATGATACCCAAGGCTTGCTTACTGATCATTGGTCCAGCTGAGAAACGGTAAATGCCAAGTGCAGCTAGAGACTCTGTCTCAAGGAAATAATCTTGCTCAGAGAGAGCAATAAGAGGATACCTGATGTCCTCAAGGACACACACACCTACACAATCTTTTGTAACACACACACACACACACACACACACACACACACCTTTTTATTGTTGTTGGGGGCCAACAAGATGTAAAAAGCTCTTGACACCAAGCATGAAGATCTGAGTTTGGTCCCCAGGAGGGACACAGTGAAGGAAAGAACCAACTCTGAGCTGGGCAGTGGTAGCACACACCTTAAATACCAGCACTCGGGAGGCAGAGGCAGGTAGATCTCTGGGAATTCAAGCCCAGCCTGGTCTACAGAATGAGTGTCAGGACAGACTTCAAAGTTACAAAGTTACAAAGAGAAACCCTGTCTCAGAAAAACCAAAGGAACCAACTCTGGCAAGCTGTCTTCTGGCCCCCATATACACACCATTGAATGCATATACTCATTCACACATCCACAGTAAGTAGAGTGTGATACATTCTTAAAGGATGATGTTGAATCGATTACTTTAGTGAAGAATTTTCTGTAAGATAAATAAAAAATACCAACAATACAACAGGAGAGAAACAAAGCCGGGGATCGTGTGTTCATAAAACCATCCTAACGCTGAGTATGGTTTACCCAGAATACAAACAGGTATAACAGGGTCCCGGATCTTAGTAGGCCCCAAAACCTTAGCACAGCTGACTCCATGATGGAAGTACCATCCAGGTCATGAAACTCAGCACACAGACAGTGCTGCCTGACAAGATGAAAACATAGACCTAATCTGTCAAAGCCTGGGAAAGTCTTTAAAAGGTTTCCCAGTCCCGCTTGCAGCCAACTGTCCTTGTGAACTGGTTTGCCAACCCAGGACAGAGTTTTATTCTTAAATGCCCACCCTGGCAGACACTGAGATCACTGGGGTCTTGAACACCCAGTGTACTAGCTAGCTGGCTAATAAAGGCTTTCTATCGGATTAGATCCATGTCCGTGCAGTCTTCTCTGGTGTGTATACCCGGCAGGTCCACACCACCCAGCTGAGCCATGCCTCTTCATGGAGGTGTACCCAGCAGGTCTATACCATGCCACTTCCCCCAAGCACAGTACAGAAAAGGAAGAACTTATCCTCTGAGATCAATTCTGACCATCAGAAACACGTAAGTACCGGGAATTGTGGGAGAAAACAGTCACACGCCTCCAGAGTAGGAGACCTAAGAAACACAATCACAGAGGGGGCTATCAAGACCAGAGACGAAACACAGCTCCTCAGAAAGTCTTATGAGAATGTAATTCTTTGAAAGCAAGCAAACATGGACCCAGGAGGTGGCACAGTGGGTCGAGACACCTGCCAACAGGCGTGGTGGCCTAAGTTTGATCCCTGGGGCCCACATGGCAGGGGAGAGGCAGCTCCTGAAAACTGTCCTCTGACCTTCACACATGTGACACGTACTCCTCCACTCCCTACCCCCACCAAACAAATAAAACAAAGGAACGTAAAAACAAGCACGCAAACACAACTAATAATTTTAACTATATAGAAGTCTGGGGAGGGGGTAATTTCTAAATTACAATTATTAATTGAACACAGGAAAGCTTTTAGAGTACAAGGTAAAACACATTACTAAAGACAAAGCTTTTACTAATACTATATGAGAACCAGCCATATCAGAATGAAACAGGACTCAAAACCACACACACACACACACACACACTCTGCTACAAAGACAATGAGTAACAAAATGTAATGAGGGATCCTGGTGCTACAAAAACAGGGCAGGATGCTGATCAAGGCAATCTGCCCAGAGAGACAAACTTTGCTTGTATGATGGAAAACGGGAACCGTAACTCAACAAATCCAGTTATGCATTTTAAAGATCATCTAAATGCCTCTAGGTCTACAGAGGTCCCATACACAATTTCTAAAGGAAACCACGAATACATCGTTCTAGAGACGAAAAATATGGAGATGTTAAGACATTAAAAGTTTAACATTCAAGGGTTTTCTTTTTTGTAAATCTTGCATTTTATTTTAAAAAGCACTCTATTTGTGAGATGACATCATTTTTCCTTTCCCTTTCCTTTCTCCTAACCCTTCCACATACCCCTTTCATCACTCTGTCTGTCTGTCTGTCTGTCTGTCTGTCTGTCTGTCTGTCTGTGTCTTTTCTGGTGGATACCCCACAACACAGGAAGGAACAATTGGAAATGGAAGTCTCAATTCAGGTTCCATCTCTCCTGGGAAAGGAGGTAACCCAGCAAGCCTACACCATCCAGCTGAGTCATGCCTGCCTGCCTGCCTTTCTTTCTTCTGTCTGTCTCTCTCTCTCTATCCATCCCTCCATCCCCCTCTCTCTCTCTCTCTCTCTCTCTCTCTCTCTCTCTCTCTCTCTCTCTCTCTCCCTCCCTCCCTCCCTCCCTCCTCTTTCTTTTGAGATAAGGTTTGACTATGTAGCCTTGGCTATCCTGAAACTCACTATGTAGACCAGGCTGGCTTCCTCTGCTTCCTGAGTGCTGAGTGCTGGGATTAAAGGCATGAGACACATGTCCAAACTGTTTAATTGATGGTGGTGGAGGTATATGTGTTCCTAAATAAATAAATACTACATTCTCTACCAATATGATGGTGATTCCAAGGCTCAGGTATCATTTCAGAAGAGAAGGCAGAAAGATTGAGAGCCAGAGGAACAGGAGGTCTGCTGTGAGTTTTTTTCTTTTGGGTTTATTTATTTTTTTTTTTAATCTCCTAGAAATGTAAGTGGTTGCAGGCATGAAGTCTCACCAAACATGCCTAAACATGACTTGAACAGAGTAACAACAGACATGCTAACATGGCAGATAGAGGGTGCTCAGGAGGCCTCAACCCTACACAAACAACTACAGGCAACTAAGGAATGCTGAGAAATAGTCTTCTCCAGCCAGGCAAGGGCACAACAATTGATTATTTAGTTTTTGTTTTGTTTTTTAAGGCAAACAGGGCCAAGGAGACGACCTCTTAGTGGTAAAGTGCTTGCTGGGCAAACAAGAGGACATGAGTATGATTCTAGAATTGCACTTAAAAGTCAGAAGTGACAGTGTACACCTATAACCCTGACTCCAATAAAACCAATTCCATTCCTAACAAAAATCTAAATCAGAAGACATCGGACAACCCTTGTAAGTATAACAATGAAGGGAGTCTTTGAGAGGGAGTAGCTGGAAGAGCACAGGAGTAAATCAAGCCAAGTTGAATGACATCTCTGAAACTTAAGCTACATGGCAGCAGATCAGGGTACTGTAATTAGTTTCCTCTATGAATTTCAAGTTAGCAATTGATAGCCTCAGAAAATAGCTGCTGTGAGTAAAATAACTAAGCCGCAGCTGGAAGGCACGCCTACTGCCTACTTGGGGATACTGGAAGTTGTCTGCAAAGCCATCCCTGCAGTGGATTAACAGAAGAATCCTGTGAGGAACCAGGTCTGGTCTCCAGTTTGGTCGCATGTGGCCCTTGGGGAACATTTTTATCAAGGCCTTGAATTTAGCCACATGAGTGACTTTGGAGTAGATACAAAGCCTGGATCACAGAACCCTCCTAGGACACATGTCAGACTCAAGACCAAGCAGGCCCAATCAGTACAATCAAATCTAAGAGGAATAAATGAATATAAAGTTCTTCATTTACATTAAAACAAGTTCTGAATGGAGAAAAACCTGACTTGGCAGTGGCTTTAAAAAAAAAAAAAAAAGGTCTGAGATCAAAGGAAAAGATCTGACAATTTAACAATCTAACTTGACCAAAAATTTATGAGCCAAAAATGTGATTTGATTGCTTAGAGGAAACTAATATAATTTCAGCCTGAATGAATATTCAAAGAAATGTAATCTCTGAAACATAGCAAGTTAGCGTGTCCATTGTAGCCAGGTCTGGCCAGACCGCATCTGGAACATTGTGTTTAATTTGAGACACTCATTTCAAGAGACAATTATGAACTAAGAATGCCCAAGAAACACAGCCAGGAAGGGAAATGAAGGAGAACTTAATATGATAAAAGGTTTGAAAAGCTATGTGTATTGAGCCTGGAAAACTAAAAGAAAAACGTCAATTAGCTTCAAATACTTTGGTGTCAGGTGACGATACCAAAATGTTTTCATTGTTTTGCTGTTCCATTTACCCGAAATCGGGACTGCGGAACAGAATTTCGAGCCCACCCCGAGAAGACTGCATCTCTTGCTCTGCCCTCTGCTTCTTTGGTTTAGGGCTGGGAAACAGCAGTGAGGTGCTGGCCTCCAGCAGGTGGGAAGTCCAAGGACACAGCTGAGATTTAGGGAACTTGCCCAGGCTTGCCGGCTGCTCCAAGTGGCCTTCAGAGCACCCATGGGGCAACCTTCTCAAGGTGACATCAACAGCTCATCAGAGCTCTGATCCCCACCAGGGTCAGTAATAAACGCACGCGGTGAAAAAGAAAGGCCATGTGTGTCTAGATAGGAAGGAGTTTTTATGTTAAGAGCTGACGTTATGCGTATAGTATACCCCATAATCCAGTCAAACCAATGCACAAGTCACTTTTTTATGAATAGAGTTTTAATTAGGCTCTGTACTATTTAGCTATGTAAGACCAGCTGAACCTGCCAGGCACATTACACTTGAGTTTACAGATTTTGTTTTAAAGATTTTATTTATTTATTTATTATGTAGAGTTTTCTGCCTGCATGTGCTCCATATGCCAGCAGAGGGCACCAGACCTCATTCAAGGTGGTTGCTGGGAATTGAACTCAGGACCTCTGGAAGAGCAGCTAGTGTTCCTAACCACTGAACCATCTCTCCAGCCCTAGATTTAACATAATCATTAGTTGAATCAGTGAAAATGCACAATGTCAGTGTCATTCATAAAATGCCCTAAAAAATAATACCAGAAAGGAATAAAGCACGCTTATTTTTTACAAACCAGTCATAAAGCAACTGAAACTGTGTCTTTAGGAACAGAAAGAAAGGTTAACAGGAGAGAACTAGAGAAAATCCAAGCTATCTTAGAACCTGATATGATGCAGACACTGGAAACTACAAATGGGTTTTTAAAATACAGCAAAAGAGTAAAGTCACTGCAAGAGAAAATCTACTAGTTATCTAATTTGTAGATGGAAAAATACTTCTCGAGTTTCAGAGTCAGAGAAACTAAAAGGAAAAAAACCTACAGGCTCAGCGATGCATATGCTATCCTACTCTGCTAGAAGTCAAAGGCACCTTAAGTTGACAAAATTAAAAGCAAACTGTCTACAAAAATAGTATTTTCAGTAAAAGAACTTGTGAATATCTTAAAATATAAAGAGCCCTTAACAATCAATACGGGCCAACTTGAATGGTCGAAGGAAGATTCATAAACGAAAATACAAAAGAAAAGAAGAAAATAATCACACACACAGACAAGTTTAATCTCATAAATAATGAAGTAAGCCATTAAAAATATTCTACAAATGGAAACTCTAAAAAAATGTACACATACCTTAACTCAATAATCTCACTTAAAGTTTTTATCTTAAGAAAATAGGCAATTTTATTATTTTTATATTCCAACCCCAGTTCCCCCTCCCTCCCTTTTTACCACCTCCCCCATCCCACTCTCCATCTACTTTTTTTGGGGGGGGGTTGGTAAGACCCTCCTTGGGGAGTCACCAAAGTCTGAGATACCAAATTGAGACAGGACCAAGACCCCTCTCCATGAATCAGGCTGGGCAAAGTAGCCCACCATAGGTAATGGGCTCCAAAAGGAGAGTTTATGCCCCTGGGATAAGTCCTAGTCCTTGTTTTTTTTTTTGTTTTGTTTTTTTTTTTTTTAAGAGTATAAAATCATAGCATACATGTTAGAACAATGACACATGAACAACTATATTGTACGGAATATTTAATATAAGGAAACATACACCACATACATGGAAAGATATGTTTTAAGTGGTGACACCTATAATACTTAAAGTGAAGAAAGTATGTGCATTAAGTCATTCAAAACGTAAAGATTTCAACTGTTATTCCTTTTCCTCTTTGTGCTTTTCTATGCTTTCCAAATGTCATAATATAATATCCTTGGCTTGAAGAGATGGCTCAGCAGATATGAGTGTTACTGCTCTTGCAAGGAACCCAAAGTAGATTCCCAGCACCCACGCCAAGTAGCTCCAGAGAACCTAATACTTCTGGGGCCTTCACAGATAAAAGCCCTCACATTTACACGGGTACACACATACACACACACACACACACACACACACACACACACACACACACACACACACCTCCCACCTATGTCCTTGACCATTAATTTCACTTTTAGAAATTAGAATTTAGAAATTGTTATAACAAAAGGTAAAGAGAAAAAAATTGTATAAAAGTTATCATGTTATTCATTAAAAAATGTTAGAGAAAACAGTTTAATACTGTTAGAACATAAAAGAAAGTAATTCAAATTTCATACTAATATATGAATGACGAATCATTACAGGAAGGAAAAGGACTTTTTAAAAGCCAATAGAGCTTATCTACAGCTACCTTATCAACTTAATAGACTTTGTTTTTTGGTGAAAATGCATTGCCTTTTAAGGAATAAACTATGGCTGCAAAAGTAAGCTGTGTTAGGCTTTAATTTTACATACTTGGTGGCTCCATCGTCGTATGTTGCCATTAGCACCACTGTCCCATCTGGTATATTCTTCAGAAACTCAATGAATGGTGCCACATCTGAAGAAAAAGAAGGGGTGGGGATTTTCTCTGTAAATAATGGAATTACTATCACAACAATCTCCAAAATTAATGTCATATCCAGTTTCCACAAAACAACAGTTTCTAATGAAAAGTAATGTACAGGTGAGACAGACAAATCCTAGGGAAAGCTTAAAAACTCAACGTCTTTGAGTATACCTAGAGAAGAAAAAAACCCACTAAACAAAGTTACCAAATTTATTCTTTAATACAGTCCCTCCATTTCCTGATTGATTTCCCAGTTCTGAATCATCTTGTGTCTTTCATACTCTCATCATCAGGGCCAATAAAAATCCAGAGTAAAGTCATGTAAGCTCATCACTTGTAAAGGAAGGACCTCCAGGATCTTTCAGAAACACACAACTGGGATCACGGACCACAGGGAGCCTGAGGTTCAGGTGAAGCTTTGGAGACCAGAAGGGGCATGGCCTTGAATGTTAATATGAGTGCTTTTCTGGGAAAAGCAAGCCCTGCTTTATCCTATCCGCACAGTCCTCTGTAAAAAAAATGTTTTTGGTCTGTAAGAAGGCAGATTTATAGAGTTTCTAGGTATATCATCTTGTAACAAATTGGGGGAAGAAAGGAATGCAGACAGCGACTAAAACCCAAGCTAATTATGGCGAGCACTGGACCTCTTGAGTATCAAGTCCACAGGAACTTCACAATACCCCAGCTCCATGAGTGCAAGCTGATGCTGCCAGACAGACTGGTCATGTACTAAAGCATTTCCATCATAAGCTCTTTGCAATGTTAGTTTTCCTTATAGACCACAAGTCTAAATCTATTCCAAAGCTATATTACTTCAAGTCTTCCCAATTTTTTTTAAGCATCCAAGATTCCAAAGATTTTTCTCTAGCTGATTATATTTTACAATAAGCATATTTTCAATGTAGAAATGTAAATGCCAACAAATTGTTCCCATTGAAATGAAAAGATGACACTAAACTGTGATTATTTCTGAACCAGTTAGACTCTTTGGCAGCAATTTGGCTCCTGTGACAGGCAGTGAGAACAATACCCAAGCTCTGTTTACATGCCCAATTTCAACAGCTTCATGGAAGAGTTTCTATGCTATAAATTATACTAAGAGCAATTATGTTCTCAAAAATCTAAAATTGATGGGAACAGTGTAATTTAATATACCTCTGACAGCTATGCAATGTTCTCTAAAGCTTAAATAAATAATACATAGCATCTTATTAAAAGCCGAAGCAGTATTAGACACGTTAGCTCGTCTGAAAACTGGACATAAATGTCTGGAAGCGTGGGAGCTGCCAGTTTGTAGGCAATATGTAAAGAAACCAGGGAACCAAAAGCCAGGGTCGGCATGCCTTGGGCACTGGAAAGGTGGCTCAGAGTTGGGCTACAGGAAGGTCAGTAGCCCACTTGTTACTCTTCCAGAAGACTTGAAGCTGGCTCCCAACAGTCACATTAGGTAGCTCATGATGCCTGTAACTCCGGTTCTAGCCCAGTGCCACTTGGCTCCTCAAGCACCTGCACCCATGGGTACATATCTACATTAAGGCACATGTACACATAATGAAAATATTTTTCCTTTTTTTTTTTTTTTTTTTTTTATATTTTTTTTTTTTTAAGAAACCTTTCTCTTTGGGGTAGCATTCTTTGGGGGCAGCCAATATTTGCTACAAATTCACCAGTTTTTGATGGTAACCTCTTCCTACCCCTAGAACCTCCAAACACGGATGGGGGAAAAAAAAATCTGTAGCTTGTTCTGAGTCCAGCAAATTACAAAGAAAAGTCTATGCCTTTTCCCAAATGTTTGCTACTATAATAGCACAGTCTTAAGGTAGAAAAAGGATGGATTAATGGGATTATTACTTTTCGAGAACACGAGGCACTTCATGCTAAAACTGTGTGAACTGCTGTTCTTCAGACGATTCTGACTTTCAGGCAGAAATGGAAACCAACTCAGGGCTTTGAGACAGTTGTCCTGTCAAAACAAGGAATGCTAACGTCCTTCAAATCTCACTGGGATCTCAATCACAGGACAACTTTCCCACCATAATGAAACGGCATGCAAACACAACAGCCTGCTTACATATGGTGGGACATGTAGTGAGGAGGGGTGAAACAGAACAGAAATGCAAACGGTGACAGAGTTCTCTCCACCATGGGTTCAGCATCAGGAGCGGGAGGGCAGGGTAAGTCACACGTACCTCCTCCCCACATGTCAAAATATTTGGTGTCCAGTACCTCCCCTGTTTTTCCTGAAAGAGACAAAATAATACATATTAAATCACACAACTGGACTATTAGCGTGACAACGAGTGACATGAACTCACTGACAGGAGGAACTGCTTCTAGAACTTAGGCTCTGAATCATACGCACAGCCATGAAATCAGATCTACGTCAGGTCAGTTACGTGCTACACTTCACTTTCGTGTGCGATCATCATTCCATGAGAATTACCACCAATACATGACCTCTACAGCAAAGAAATTACCTCCTTAAATCATGACAGCCATCTATGATAAAGCTTCCCACCCCCAAATAAAATTGACACTTATTTTATCTTGAAGATCAATTAAATAGAAGAAGAGACATTAACGGTTTTACTTGGGAAAAGGAAGTACAAAGTGATATAATTACCACCTATGAATAGAGCAAAGAGAGCTTTCTCTCTGCTGGGGGTTGGCTGAGCTGCTGGCAGATCCTACTCGCCCAGGGCTGTTACAGGAAACATGTGCCTGGACAGGCAAGCAGTGCACAGGTAGGTAGCCTGCACTTTGTGGTCTGGATGCTGCTTAAGGTTTACTTTTGTAACACTCGCTAGGTCCAGGACTCAGTGAACTTATTTGCACAAATGACGCTCTGAGTACAATGTGGACGGTACTGAAGATGTACAAATTAAGACTTTATTCTCCCCTCAGACAACAGTCCACCACCCTGCGTCACGTTACACACCCTTAAGCTTGTCTTCGTATTAGGTAAGAATTCTGAAAGGCGCAGCAAGACTGCATCCATTTAGTGTCAGATTGGTAGCTTGCAATTTCACAAGAAGCTCGCCACACAATGCACATGTGCACAGCCGCAATCTGACCGAGAAAAGATGGGTACATAAGTAGATTCCGAGTCCCCATCAGCAGTGGTTTGGACAAGAGGGTATCCATGTTGGGACGACTTCAGTATTGAGTGATGCCAAGGATAAACTTCAGCATGAAGCATAAATATACCCATTGATTGCAATGATAACGTACAATAATTATTCTTACCATTTACCAAGGCAACATTTATTCCTCTTCCAACATTGTTCTTAACACCACTCATCAAACTAAAGTGAAAGAAATCAAGACAAACTCATTAGAATTAGTATGTGGAAACGTGTCACAGAAATACAATATAAGAATAGGTATTATACACATATCAAACACTCGACTCAGCAAATTAAAAACTTACTACACCAAAGACGGCCTTACATTGAGTCCACCGTAATGTCAACTCAAATAATACTTCATGCTATTAAAAAATACACATAAAGGTACAATGGTGGTACATAAAGTTACAAAGTTCAATGGTTAAGAACATGTACTACTCATCCAGGGGATCAACACTCATTTCAGGAGACTCACAACCTCCTCTGACTCCAGAGGATCTGATGCCTCTGGTTGCCACTAACACCTGCACTTATGTGCACATACCCGGACAGACACAAATGAAAGTAAACCTGTTCAAATAAAAACATTATGGCTCAAATGCCACTGTGTTACTGCTGTCTCATACTGTGCAGTGACACCTCAGGCAATCCTTTAGGATTTGGGCGCCGTCCTCAAGAAGCCAAGGAACACACCCTCCCTTCTCCATCTTCTGCAGGGTCACTGTGATACCGTGACATGAAATGGAGTCATAGTCTGTATAGACGCTTTAAAATCCAAAGTCAGAGCACTAACGGAGCATTGTCATGCCCGCGTCACCTCACTGTGAACATTTTCCTAGTGATTATCAACATAAACTTTCTCTGTACTCAAAAGAAATACTGTACTTACTGATTACCTCACCCCAGGGCTGCCCGAGACAACCAACGTGGCTGCAGCTTGCAGACCGTAATGCCAGATGACAGTGTGGGATGGAGGGCATATTGGCTTGCTAACCGCTTGTTTTATTGGATATTAACTCAAAGTTTGTAGACAATGTTAAATTAATAGAATTCAAGGTATTAGAAAGTTCCCCAGCTGTGTGTTGGAAGAGGGACACCGTTCTCACATTAGTATACTGCAAGTTTTCCTGACAGAATGTGTAGCACACAATTTCACAAAATGAAATATATAATACTTCATCATCCACTCCTCAGAGTCAACTCATTCTCACAGAAGGTGTCAACTGCTTTCTGCCCAGCTCATATCTGTAACTGAACTATGGTTGCAGGGAATATAATTCTAACAATTATAGCGTGACATACTCGTTTATGTAAACGAGTAAGACAAAGGAAAAACTAAAATCATGCTGAAGCTTCACTTATTTGGTGGTGACAATGTCTTTACTAAGTCAAATAAATTTATAACGCCGGCCAGTTACTTCCTCGTTCTGTTGTTTACAGTATAATATCCACAAGCCATACAATGGCATGGCATGCAGCTAGTTCTCTTCTACATAAATAACATTTCCCCCTCTTTTTCTTGAGTCATGTCTTAGTTTCAAGCTAAGTTCCTATTAAGGACCACACAGCAATCACTAAAAAGTCACTCAAAAACAGTGAATCAAGGTTTTTATTACCATATTAGTATTAATGAATTTCATTATTACATTTTGCATGCATTTAGAACGTAGTTTGATCATCTCATTACCCTCCCTCACCTCCCCCCGACACTCCTGCTCCCCCCTTTCTCTCAAATAGAACTTTTTTTAAAAAAATGATAATGATATAAAATTAGTAAACTGGGTGGTGGTGGCACACACCTTTAATCCCAGCCTGGTCTACAGAGCTAATTCTAGGACAGCCAAGACTACACAAAGAACACTGTCTCAAAAAAACATAAAACAAAAACAAACATAAACAAAAAAACCTCAAAGAAAAGCAATCCAAAAACAGAATAAAATGATAGACTTAAGGCCTCGCCTATCAACACGTTTACTGAATATAAGTAACTCAAACATATCGCATAAATACAGAATGGGAACCACTGGTTATTACAGAACCAACTACATAACGATGGCAATAAATTCATCTGAAACAGAAGTATATAGGTAATAGAAAGAAAAAGAGTAATAAAGCCTTTATGCAAACAACCCAAAGAAGAAATAGCACCAATCAATTTTAAAAACAACAGAAGGTTGGAGTGCATATTTCTCTATGGTGAATTTTAAAAATGCAAGACATTGTGAACAATTAAGGAGGTACAAACCATGAGCTCAATGAGCTACAACTTTACTCTTAGTAGATGCACAGGCATATGGAGGACCCAAGACTTCAGGTCCTCCAAAAGCCAGGCAGCTATCTGAAAGAATAGTCCACCACAGTACAAGCACAGAGAGTGAAACACATCCACACAAAACCTGTATAGAAATGTTTCAGAAACACTATTCGTGATAGTCAGAGAGTGTAAATAATTCAAACATCTATGAAATGATAAAGGACAAAGCAAACTAGGCATTATCTATAATGGAAAATCACTGAGCCATGAAAAGAATTAACTAACACAAGGTAGATGAACCTAGCCAGTTACTGAAGCCCACAGATAATAGTTCTGTATGGAACATCAAAAACAAGCCAATCTATAGGGACAGAAGCAAACAAGGTTATTTAGGACTTGGGTGTGGAGTAGAATAAAAATGAACCAGGGCCAGAGTTAAAGGACACAGTTTCTTTTGGTGGTGTGGCAATGTTCTATGCTGGGACTGAAATCCCAGCATTCTGGAGACAGAGGCTAAAGACAGCCAAAAAGGAATGAGTGAATGAAAAAGAAGGGAAGAAAAAGCCTAAGATTAACTACGGCAGTTTGTACACAACCATGAATCATATTATAAACCAGTGACTGCACACGGCAAATGAAGGAAGTAGGTATATAAACCACATCTCCAAGCTGTTTAAACAAAAGAATTTGTCTTCAGCACACACATAAGACAGACATAAGCATCACCACAGGACAACTGGCTGGACTTCACCAGACCCTGGGGAAGCACATTAGACATGTAAATTTCACCATTGGTACCAAAAACGAATGGTTACAACTAATGTGTTGGTTAATAATCAAACTCCAGTGATTTTCCAAGGAGAGACCATCTTGGAACAAGCTACTCTATTCCAATAATCTTAAATTCAGCACAGGACAAAAGAAGCAAGGCATCACACCGCCATAGGCTTCCCACAAGAGGGCAGCAACCTATCAAGTTTTAACAGATTAGACCGGGGAAACTTGCCATCAATGAAAAACCTCCAAACACACCAAAAGTAGCCACAGCAATTAAAGTATTTACTTTATTCTTCATGACTGTGGAAGACCCTCTGGCCAACTACATACCTTCCGGAAGAAAACAAAACAAAACAAGGAACCCTAAAGGAAATGGCATAAACACTATTATTTATCTTCAAATACTGGTTTTACCTCACATGCCTGCCACCAGCTCTGGCTACTATAAACATTTTGGAGGGAATGTGCCGAGCACTAAAGATGTTCAACAGCTCTGGCTCTCCACAGCTGTAACAAATAACAAATATACCACAGGGAGCAAAAGTAGCCCCACCCATACACAGTAATCTAGAGTAGTTGTCTATCTCCACAGTGAGTTCCTATGCTCAGATCAGGTGCAAGGATACACATATTTTTTTAGTACATAACTTGCTCATTTCTTAGGGTAGACAGGCCAAAAAAAAAAGTTGTTATGAGTAGAGACACCATGTCAAGCAGCTGGCGTAACTAATCATGGCTTCCCCACTGGTCTTTATTCCGCTACATGAGTCATTTTATATAGCTGTGAAACTAACTTTTCAAGAAAACGAGATCATAACACAGTTGAGTCTGAAAACTGTCTCAGCACACTTAGAAAATGACCTCAACCCTTTATCTGCATTGCTCAGAGTTCTTGTGTGGTCTGGCCCACTCACTTCTAGAACTTCCCTCCCATACAGCCTGAGCATGTACTTCTTACCTGGGATGTTGAGACATTTCTGTTCCGCCTCAGGTTGTCTCCTGGTCCCTAGGTTCTCAGACCACACTGGGTGTCTTAGAATCAATCCTCAACACTCAACCTGAAGTTGGCCCCTTACTTACAATCAAGTTGAACTCTATCTACCTCACTCACTCCACTAGTAAGCATCACGCATGTCCATTGCCTGCACAGATGGTGTCCTGATTGACAGTCAGTCACTTGCTTGCATTTACTTTTCAGGTATCTGTCCACCCTGCTAGACTGTATATTCCATGATAGGAGAAACCGGATCCAATAAACACTTGGACAGATGAATGAGTGATGCCTAGCCAAGCAGATGCTTCATGCTTTATGTTAGCACTGTTTAAAAGCTTCACACTGGAATAAATATACAGGAAAAGGCTCTGGACTTGGTCCCTGCAGCATCCCACTGAAAATCCTGACCAGTTATGAAGCCCTTCTACAGGGACCAATGCCATCACCTGAGGCCTGGCTATAAAATTTCATCAATTATTAATCTCTCATGGGAATGGCAGAATGATTTTTGAAACGCAACTGATTGGTAGGAAGCCTCAATTTTTGATCAAACAAACCACACAGTACAAATCCTACGTGACATGCCCACCGTGTTAGAACCAGAGAGTCTGGCTCCCAGCCCGGCACAGTCACACTGAGTCCTACTCCCAAGGTTTATCTTCTAACCTATGTAACTGAGGTTAGAAAACCAACCTGTGTTGACAGGGGTTTGATCTCTTCCTTGAACTAAACTCCATGCTTCAAAGACAGAGTAGGCATCAGAAGATTATCTGTGGGTGAGGTATTCCAAATGAACTCTCATCCTATTATTAAGACTCAAACTTGGACTCTTTAGCAAAGTGAAGGTGGAAACGAAGGGGACTGTCTCTGAAGACATAGAAACTTCCAAGCCCCATGCACTTTGCTGTGTCAATAAACAGATGTGGAGTACTGATTTGGCAGTGGTCACCCATTAGCATGGTGGAAAAGAACAGGAGTGAACAGAGCATCAATTCTGATCAAACTGTTGCCCCCTGAGGCCAATCCTTTCGCGGTTCAATGGAAATTTAACTTAAGCACTGTCTGAGATTCATGCACAAAAGCTGGAAGCAATGGCCCAGTTTCTGCTGTTTAACTCTACATCATCTTAGCCGTGAGTCTACACAGCTGAATGTCACAGTCTTTAGTCTACATAGCTGAATGTCATGTCCATTATTTCACGTGAATTTTAAATAAGCTCGTGTGTCTAGTTTTCTGAACAATCAGACGAAAAACAACTAGAAGCAGGGTTTGCAATTTCAGAGCGGGAACTTGTGACAGGCTAGGATGACAAACCAAAAGCATCCTGTGTAAAACAGCACAACCAGTGAGCCACTCGCCTCAGCCCAAAGTAATGTGAGTGGGACAGGCCGGCCATGACCACCGGGCCCTTTCACATCTCAGTAAGCAGCACTCAAGTAACAAAAATGAAAGACACTGTCCTATAATGTGAAGCATTTGTTGCTCTGGGAAAGCTGCCAAGGAAACTTTGTTCTGACACAAGTATCCTTTATATGGAATTTGTGGTCAAGAGCCCTGTAGAGAGCCCGATGGTGGTGGTACGTGCCTTTAATTCCGGTACTCTGGAGGCAGAAGCAGGTAGCTCTGTAGTGGGTATCGGCTACCTGGCCCTATAGAGGTGGAGCTTCTTAGCTGCTGAGCAAAAAGGTCAATATCATGTTGGGGAAACCCACAGAGACAGTTGACCTGGGCAAGTGGGAGCTCACTGACTCCAGACTGACAGCTGGGGAACCAGCATAAGACCAAACTAGGACCCCTAAATGTGGGTGTCAGTTGGGGACTTGGACAGTCGATGGGGCCACTGACGGTGGAACCAGTATTTGTCCCTAGTGCATGAAGGCTTTTTGGAGCCCATTCCCCACGAAGGGATACTCTCTCAGCCTAGACACACAGGGGAGGGCCTCGGTCCTTCTCCAAACGATGTGACAGACTTTGATGATCTCCCATGGGAGGCCTCACCCTGAGGAGTGGACCCGGGGGAGGGGGCGGGATGATGAGATGGTGGGGCAAGTTTGGAGAAGGGGAGGGAGAGGGAAGTGGGATTGGAATGTAAAACAAGACTGGTTTTTTTTTTTTTTAAGATAAAAATAAAATAAAAGGGGGAACAGGTACTCTCCTGCATGCTGGTGGGAGACTGGATTGCTGCCCCCATTCACCCCAGGGCAGAACAGGAGACTGAAGTGGCTCTCTACCTTGTTGTATTCCTGGGTGCTTTCTAATAAATCTTGATACCCTTTTATTCAATTCACGAGGATTCACATACGTTTGCATACACAGATCTCTGTGAGTCTGAGGCCAGTCAGATCTATACATAGAGAGTTCCAGAACAGCCAAGGCTACACACAGAAATCTTGCTCAAAAAACAAAAACAAAACAAACAAACAAACAAAACACCCACAAAACCAAACAAACCAAAAAAAAAAAAAAGAGCTTCTGGAGCCACTGAGCACTTGAAAGCTGCCAACCACCCTGCATGAAGAGGTTTATTATTATTATTATTATTATTACTTTAATGAATTTAAAGTATTTAAGAATCAAAATGAAACAGCCACATTTATCCTTACACAAAGCCAAATAAAAATCAGTTCTCTTGGTCACTCTCTTAATGCACGGGGAGTGGGAGGAATCAAACAATAACAGAAGCATTTCAGAAGCTCCACCACCACCAGCAGTCACAGAAGACAAGGCCTGGAGTTCTGAGCCATCCAATACTCACACATTGTCCTCCAGGCAGATCTTGGGACCCACGACATTGGCTGCTCCACTGGCCATTTTAAAAGCAAAGTGCTTCTCAGGGCATGATTTAGAGATCCCACATTTGTACCTGGGAGGCTTCGTAGCTTCAGGAGAATAGAAATAGGCTTGAGCATCTTTAGAAAATGAATTATTAGGATTTCATAATCAGTTTTAGATTTCAAACAACACACACACACATAGATAGATATGCATGCATATTATTAAGGTACACTTAGGGGCTAGAGGGATAACTCAGCGATTAAGAGCACTGGCTGCTTTTCCAGAGGACCCAGGTTCAATTCCCAGCACCAACATGATGGCTCAGTCATCTGTAACTGTAGTTCCAAGGAATCAGTTACCTTCTTCTCGACTCGATGAGCACAATACATGTGGTGCACAGACACACGTGTAGGCAAAACATCACACATATGAAATAATAATTTAAAAAGAGAGATACACATATTTAACTTTTCCCCCTGAGGGTATCCAAAAAAAAAAAAAAAAAAAAAAAAAAAAAAAAAAAAAACAAAACAAAACAAAACAAGAACAACAACAAAAAACAAGCATGGAAGAAAGGCAGGCAAGCCCCCAAAATGACACAAGAACATAACTCATCCCTTCCTGGGGAATAAGCCAACTACTGAGAGAAATGGATTGTGCCATGGATCTTGCCGAGCAAGGCAGCTCTTATTTAATTATTCATAAAATTATCTTTAAATTTCTGGGTACCCAGGGCTTTTTTAATTGCTCATTTGGATGTCCAGGGCATCTAAACCAGGATCAGTAAAAGCTTGGTTCTCCCACCCACCCAGGCACAAGCTGACTCTCCTATTCACTCTCTGTGGCTGTGCTCAAACCCCAAGGCTGGAACCCAAGCACAGAGCAAATGTCCACCAACCATGAAGAACCTATGACACTAGGCCATCCAACTGAATGATGGCCATATAATCTCAAAACTCAACTCCTCCTCCAGTGTTTGTTCACAGAAATCTCCCACACTGCTTGAACATGAACTCCTACAGGGCCACACACAGGATGCAACATTTAGAGAACAAGGGAGGGACTTACATCGAGCGGCTGAGTCCAGCGCAGATCGAGCTAAGAAGAGAGACAATCAACGTCATTAGAAAACACAGAAACTTCTAATAAGCCATGGGAATACATGTTCAGGTGACTGCATATATAATACCAGTATTGAGTCAGAGAAGCAGAACCCTTCTATTAATTCATTATGGACAAGTATGTATTGAAATCATAGACAGTAGTGTTTTATTACCGAAAAAAATCTCTTAAAATTCTATTATTTATTTGTTTTTGTTTTAAGTGGGGGAGAGGGGGGACAAAGGAGGTGTGAGACAGGGTTTCTCTGTGTAGCCCTGGCTGTCTTCGAACTTGTGCTGTAGACCAGGCTGGCCTTGAACTTACAGAGATCCACCTGCTTCTGCTTCCTGAGTACCGACATTAAGGTGTACGCCATCACTGCCTGGTTCATTTTAAACTTTATATTTTGTTTAGTTATTTATTACAAATTTAGACCTTACTCAGAATATTAGTCTGAAAACATACCTTTAAAAGACTACTAACTGTGTTGGTGAACAATACTGTATTTAAATGATGCTGTTGCAGGCCTGGGCCGGGCTTGGTACCCATAGTCCTGGAGAATAAGCATAAATCTATCTTGGGGTTTGGTGGAAATTTGAGAGTACAAGGAGGAGGGAGGGTGAATGTTGGGGAAACCTGAATTTCTCCACAAAAGCTGTACAGTAAAGAAAGGCCTAATGAAGCCAATGCCATTACTGGCCATTTCTTATTTCATCGGATCAAGGAAGGGAGAAAGTCAGCTCCTGACACCCACAGTGGGTCTCCCCAGACCTCCATCACAATCACACTTAGTGCTCTGTAAGTACACCAGTGTCTGATCCCAGTCCAAGGGGATTTTAACACAGACCATCAAAGTGCTACAGACAGCTGGTTTTTGATGTGGCTAATACGTACACAGTGTGATAGATGCTGGCCATCTGTCTAACTATTAATAGTCACTTAGTTTTTTACTTCTGTACTATTTTTGATAACTGTGAATTTCCTGTAAGTCAACTATTCAAATTATGGGACAGAAAGTGGAAGCAGAAAGAGTTTCTAGATGCATCTAAAGAAGAGACCAAGTCAGTAGCTCCGGCACCCAATACCCAATAGAACACTTTGTAGAACATTAGGCACTGTTAAAGTCGCAGATCTAGGACACAGGGAAAGAAAAAAGCATGGAATATAGCAAAACAGCCTGCCCTCTTTCAAGAACCTACATACAGAGATGATTCCCATGCAAAGAGAGACCTGGACTGGCAAATAACAAAACAGAAGAGGGGGAGAGAGACGGGAGGACATCTAACCAGGTGCTGGGTTTTCCTGTTCATTCTTTCCATTTCCTTATATAATCACAGAGATTCCATCCAATGCTTTCACTTGTTTAAATAGGAGAACTAAACTCTGGAGCAGAGTCGGCAAAATGAAGACCTGAAATTCTCAACTTCAGCTGTCTTTAAAAAGCAAACAAACAAGGCAGCTCAGTGGGTAGGGGACTTGACACCAAGCAAGACGATTCCCCTAGATCCACATGGTATAAGGAGAGAACTGACTCACAGTTGTCCTCTGACCTCCATTCATATGCCATAGCACATATTTGCCTACACCCATCTACAAATACACCACACACACACACACACACACACACACACACACACAACTAAGAAAAAAAAATTGCCCAGGCAGTGGCGGTACATGCCTTGAATACCAGAACTCAAAAGATCTCAGGCCAGCCTGCTTTACAGATCAAGTACCAGGACAGCCAGGGCTACACAGAAGAAAGCCTGTCTTCAATACAAAAACAAAAAACAAATAGACAAAAAAAAAAAAAAACCTAAATCAATTAATTGAAGAAAAAGAAAAGAGTATTATTAACAGACTCCAGTGTTAAAATTCTTAGAAAGGAACACTGTTAAAATCAGGAATTTTAGTCTCCCTACCCGTGCTAGGATGATTAGAAGGCGGGTATCTGACCTATGGTAGCGATGGGGAGATCTGAACAGGGGCAGACCACCACCACTCACTCCTATGTGCTAGGTGTCTGAAGTATGTCTGGATGGTCACTGACATGGTCATCATGTTTCAGAGATAAGGAAAGTAAGGACAGAGCCTAACTGGTGTGTTTTATGTTTTAGTTCACTTTTAATATTTCATAGCATGTACTTATGTTTATGCTTATGTGTGCATGTGTGATTACACAGATGCCAAGGGACATATGTGGAGATCTCAGAGGACAATTTACAGGAGTACTCTCCTCCCACCACCATATGGATCCTAGGGATTGAACTAAAGGAGCCAGACTTGATGGCTGGCATATTTACCTGTGGAGCCATCCGTCAGCCTGCAACTGGCTTTTAAAATCATCTCGTGTAAAAGCCAGGCCCACTGTACCACGTCTAAAGAGTGAATATGTAAGCAAAAAGCAGGAGTCAGTCCCAGAGCAGAAAGCCAGGTTAGGAGCCTTTTAGAATAACTCTAACCAGAGGCTCAGGTCTGAGTTTACTTACAAAGAACCTGCTGACATAATCTATGTTTAAACAAGAAAAAGTCAGTCCTGAGGAAAGAATTATGAAAGGAGGTCACAGACAGGGATTAGGCTCAGAAATGGACCAATTGCAGGGGCGATGCAAAGGAAGGAGTCAGGGACATTGGCTTGGCTTACAAGTGCCGATATTCATTCACAGGAGGATTTGGAACTACTTTATACCTGAGTGTTTAATGCTATCTCAAGTCATCTTACCAATGACTAAAATATCCAAGGATAAAACTGCCAAGCTGTTTCACAGAGATAATCTGAACTGTATTCAGTTCTGTCCTAGCTGAATGTCAGTGCTGAAAACTAATACTGCATTAAACCACAGCCAGGAACACGGCTGGCAGACTGGCAGACTGTATGCAAGTCTACATCCTGCCTTTTCGTGACAGTTTACTGATGGGAGATGTCATTCCGTAAATATGTTTCTCTTATTGGTTAATGAATAAAGCACCGCTGGCCAATAGGAAAGCAAGATAGGCAGAATGAAGAGACTAGGAGGAAAGAGGAAGTGGTAGGGAGGGGTCAGCATGGACCAGAGAGCAGAATGCCGGCCCCTCTTTCCGGTAAGATGAGACCACGTGGAAGTACTTAGATTAATAGAAATGGGTTAATAATTAAGACAGAGCTAGCCAGTAAGAAACTAGTAACTGGCCAATAGCATTATATCAAATACAGAGTCTCTATGTGTTATTTGGGGCTGGTGTGGCTGTGGGACCTGACCTGCGGGGGGGGGGGTGCGCTACTCATAACAGTTTACAATTCCTAAGATGTTTGTAATGGGTAGAACTATGGCAAGGGTATCCAGGGTCTCTGAATATTACTTCTTACCAACAGAGTGTGACTCTATAATTCCTTCAAGATTAAGTCTTGTAAAAAAAAAAAAAAAAAAAGAAATTGCCCCTGTATGTTTGGGGTGGGGTGTGCTGGAGACTGAAACCTGCGTGTACTAAGCAAGCATCCTCATGCCAAAATACTGTTTAGAGATTTACATTTTTTTTTTTTTTAGTTGATGCTGTTCATTGCTTTTTATCTCTTAAGGTTTCCCTTATTATTTTAAATCACAACCTATCTTGGTAATTTAAATTACCAACTGTGGTCAAATTTTTTATTCTTCCTGTCTGGAAATGCCTGTTTTATTTTTCTAAAACAATATGATATAAAAAGCCTGAGACAATGAGCCAGGTTATCCCAACACTCAGAAGGCAGGGGCAGGCAGATCTCTGAGTTCAAGGCCAGCTTCTTCTATGGAGTGAATTCCAGGATATCCAGGGATACACAGAAAAACTATGTCTCGAAAAACAAACAAAACAGCCTGAGTCATAATGACTGGCCCAATGAGTGAGTCTCTGATTCTTGTGTCTTCTTTTGGGCTGTTTCTCATTGTCCAACTTTGATGTGATGGATTTTGTTTTAGCTCATTATCATTTATTTTATCATGTTTGGCTGTTATCTCTTAGAAGCCTGTTCTTTTCTAATGAGACAGAAAAGGGTGGATCTGGATGGGAGGGGAGATGGGGAGGAGCTGGGAGGAGTAGAGGAAGAGAAAAATAATCGGGATATATTGTGTGACGAAAGAATCTCTTTTCAACAAATACGGGGGAAAGAATCTGTTCAAACTATTAGGTTATTACAAAAGAAACTTGAAAATGCACTACTGAATGAACAGTTAACCATGGAGGTAACTAGAGACTTGTAGGAGGTAACTAGTAACAAGTGCCTGAAACCATCCTCTATGGATTCAATCTGATAAATTAAGTTGGATGCTAAATGAATGGTTAAGAGGACTAACATATTCCAAACAAAAAAAAATAAAACAAATCCCACAATTAATATTTTCACCAGTTCAATCTAGACTGGAATCCAATAACATTTTATAGATAAAATGCACTACAGTTACAAGATGAAAACAAAACCCTGCCCTAAACAGTGTCTAACCAAATAGGGAAAATGCAGGCAAGAACAAGGCCCTAGCAATACGGAACACCAGAAAGGAAAATAGGAGTGTCAAGTGTTCTAGTTAAAGTATTCGGCTCGGGTTCAGACTGACTGGAAAGGCAGAATCTCATGCCATATCCCAGATAGTGAGACATTAAGATTCTCTGAAGAGTATTTTGACCACAGAGGTTGAGTAGTGGTGTGCAGGAGAATCTCAGGTTCAGACCGATAGAAGTGAATCAAGCGTTACGAGTCCCTTCTGAGTATTAACTCACCAGTTCAAGCCCTCCGCATTCTTCTGTCTAATTCTACCAACTAGAACAAGAAGCTGTTTCCAGGATTCAGTCTCTTTCCATGCTTAGCCTGAAGCCAAAGCTCACGCCATGTGAACACAAGGACCCAGGAAAAACAAACACCTTCTTAGTTTCCAACAACGGCAGCCGATAGTCTCCAGAAGAGATCCGGTATTAATTTTATATTGTGTGAGATAAATATAACCAATTCCATGTGAGTAGAAGGACCTGAAGTTCTAGTCTTCACCCTCATGATAACACACTTAAGGTCACGGATATAGGTCCGTGGTATAAGCACTTGCCTGGCATCCATAAAGCCTGGAGTTTAAAGAGAGGGAAATTGCATGGCGGGCACTGTGATGGTGGACACCTGTGACCCATGCATTTGGAGAGGGTGGCAAGTGGGAGGGCAACCAAGGCCGCACCATGAACCCTGAAAGAACCTGCAGTGCCACAGGAAAACCACAGTACACTTCTAGAAGAGAAATGTCTGGAAAATCAGTGCGGCATTAAACATAACTGGCTCCATTTTATTATCGTAAGGGTCTTGTTTCAAACTGAGTTAAGAATGCAGCACAATGGTAGAACACTCGCCTAGCACGTACAGGGCACTGGGATGGGTCCCCGAGCATTGTTAAAGGACCTTACGTGGGTACAGTGACAACAGAAAAACACCAAATAATGGACAAAAATGAAAGTCACAGAGAAAAGAAATAAGAATGTTAAGGACCAACTTGTACAAATCCATTTCTCTGATGCTTTTTACAACCTGGACCGGGGTCCATTTTCTAGCGGCCGACTCAAATGAACAAAGAGTTTAAACACACTAGTGTGAGCACTTGGGAGCCATGACTAATGCTTCTCACCACCGTGTAGCAAGTGGTCATTTAAATATGCTTAAAATGTCCAACAGAATTGATTGTCCCATACTGGCTTTATTCTTAGACATGTTTTTTAGAATACTGTAATGAATGACTTCACCCACATGATACTTCTTTTTCTAGACAGAATAAGCAGCAGTGAACCCATGCTGAGAACTGACACATTGGACAGTGCTAGATTCTGGGGCTGGGGAGATAGTTTGGCGGTGAAGAGCACTGGCTACCCTTCCAGACTACCCAGGTTCTATTCTCAGCACACACAAAGCTCACAATTGTCTGTAACTCAAGTTCCAGGGGGATACACGATGCTTTCTTCTGAGGGCACCAGGCAGGCATGTACAAAGTGCACAGACATACAAGGCAGGCAAAAGACCCATACACACAAAATAATAAAATACAACTTTCTTAAAAAGAATGAAGTTCTTCTACAGTAGACAGCAGCTACCTCAAGAAACCCCTCACTCGTCAACCTGCCACAGGAACACGTGACTGTTGAGTGCTCGGCCCTATACAGGACATGGGTGCCACCCTCTCTAAAGCTTGGAGAACCTCATGGAGGAGGGAACAGTGACTGAAAAGTGCTGTTTCCTAGACATTACATGGCTACAGTCCTCAAGACATCCCATCAGCTGGATGATGGGCACAAGACTGTGCCTGTCAACATTCCATCGTGGATGGGACGGAGATTGTGAGATACTGCTTTTCCCTGAGCAGCTGCTAGAATTTAACAGCTACAGTAGGAGAGAGAGGTGTAGTCACTGGCAAGATGCCCATGCTCCAATAAAACATGCTCATGTGAGCAAGCCTAAACTGAATGAGTTGAAAAAAAAAAAAAAAAGAAGAAGAAGACATGAAACTAGGAGAGTGTATAATCAATGGGAATAATAGTGGGGAGGAGACAACAGTGTTATTTTAAAGGCAGGGGAGGGGAGGTGAAACTTACCAAATAGATTTCCTAAGCTTGCATCCATTTTAATTTCAAATACTTGAGAAATAACATAAAATGTCAATAAAAATACTGCCACAGCTACCACCAACTTTGCAGCTCCTAGAAAAAAAGGCAGAAGTCGCTCAGCATGGTTTTAGAAGCCAACAGAATCTCTGCTACACAAACATTACGTTTCTACAAAAGCGTTAAGACGACGAATACAGTCCTGTTTTGTACTCTACAAATCTTAATGTTACTGGAGTTACAATGACTGCATGATACTCACAATCACAGAACTCACGGACACAAGACAAGGTGGGGTGGGTTACCTACCAACAGCCGCTAGCTGAGTGGAACTCCTCCACCATGCCTGCAGGACTACATTAAGTCAGTCATAAAAGCAATGCCCTCTGGCGATGACACAAAACACTAAACCTGAGATGCCAAGGCCCAGACCTCCAGGACACTAGGAGTTGAAGTGAAATATAGCAAGCTTACTATCCTACCACCAACCCATCTCACCTGGAGCTATCTAATGCCATGGGGAACTGTGAATATTACCTTCTTCCTCTAGCTCAATACCTATTTAAGACAGGACTCTGACCACGGGGACAGGCTTGGACATCACCGTGACTGGCTATGCGATAAGCTCCATGAGGGCATATTTCTCTGCTTTAGACTTTGTATCTTTATGGTTGTCAGAGTACTTTATAACAGTCATCAATGCCGTATCTGCTTAGTATAAATCACCTCTTACTCTAAGCAATCACAAAGGGCAAGGTCAGAAAGGGAATGGAACAAGGCCAGAGCAACAGTTTTCCCCTCAACCTCTGGATTTCAGACATGACGTGTTTACTTGGCACCAGTACTAGCTTATTCATGCCAACACAACCTCAATCGCCTGCTCCTACTAATAGTTTAGGTTTAACCTCTACTGATATGAAAGGAGATAGACAGAATCAGCTGCTATCTGACCTTAGGAAAAAAAAATCCCAGAGATGAAGTAATGCTCTAAGATTATATATAAACCAGTGGCTGCACATGGACCAGAACTCAAGCCCCCCTGCAAAAGGCTAGTAGCCTGTATAGTAAATACATCGTCCCACACTAAATGACATATTCTTCAGGGGAGGGAGCTCATGGCACCAAACTCAATATGGTAGGTGAGGAAGAATTTAAAAAAAGAAAAAAAAAAAAAAAAAGATCATCTACTCTCATAAACCCACAAGAATAGTCTATATCCTCAGCGGGGAGGGCCAGAGGAAGCTTAAGATATCTGGAAAGGCCAATGATTCTGAAAGGTAGCCACACCCAGAGCCTCCTCAGCACTAATTCCAGATCCTCTATTCACAGCTAAACGTGAAAAGATACAAGAAAAATCTTGGTACCTTCCTTCCAATTCGGCTGTGAATCTAAAACTGCTCTAAAAAAAAAAAAAAAAACAGAGCCTTAACAAATTCTATCAATACAGGAACGAAGTGGCAATGAGTATGTCCAACTAATGCTCACCTCCATCTCCTCACTTCCTCCCTCCAAAGGCTGCTTCCTGTTCTTCAAAGCCACTACTAGCTACCTGCATTTTTAGCACATAAGAACAAACTTCCATTTGGTTGGGACCTCCTCCTCCCAGGACTGAGCTGAGTGTCTCATACAAAGCATGTTCTCACCACATATATGCTCTAGAAATAAATGACAGCAGGAGCACACACTGCTTTCATCATGGAAGACTGAGGCCAGTGGCTTGGCGGTGACAGATCGAATGCTAGTCTTCTAGTTTATTTTCCTGCAGCCATGGGCATGTGTGATAGGGGAAAATCCCCCACTGTCTTCTAAAACAGACAACAGATAAATGAAACTTGCATTGTTCAAGGCTGAAGTTGCATAGTGTTGCATCAGTGGTAGCATGGGGGTCTTTTCTTAACACTTACATAATTTATGTATCGGTGGGTTTGGCCAAGTGTACAACTGTCAATATGTATGCCCAGTGCTCATAAAGTCAGAAAGAGGGTGTCAGACCCCCCTGAATTAGTTACTGATGGTTGTGAGTCACTGTGTGGATGCTGGGAACTGAGCCTGGGTCCTCAGCAGCAGGAGCATCACCGAGTGCTCTTACCCTCTGGCCCATCTCTCCAGCCCAGCACTGAGTTTTAAACCAGGACCTGTTCACTTACACTTGTCTGGAACAAGGAAGAAACAGACGCTCCAAGATACAGAAAAGTCAGTAGCAGGAACACACAGTCTCCACAGTGGGAGAGTTCAGCAGCTTGCTATAGAGTATGGCCTCCAGGGTTGGTCCCAAAGTCCAGTGCCAGCCTTGGAGGGGCTTAGCATGGCACCACAACTCCCGTTCCTGACTTGGTGTATCATTTCCTCTTCCTTTTACTAATAGCACTGTTGTGAGACTGTCCCTGAACTTATAAACTAAGGATCATTACATTCCAGACTATGTAAGCATTTCACAGCAACCAGAATTTAGAAGATATTAATTAGCTCAAAGCAGTGAACTAATAACTAATCTTCCTTATGTGTCCATTAAAGGCAGAGCCCCCCAACCGATGCCAAGAAAAAGACGAACATAAAAACTAGATGTGAAGTTAATTTTACTGGAAATGAATTTGGAATTATGTACAAAACAAGAACTTGCTTAAACACGCTTAAACAGCATATTTAAAGATCCTCAAGAGACCACAATTTTAAATTGTTCTGCTGAACCCAAGACCATCCCGAAAGAAAAAGCAAAGCAAACAAGAGTCCCACATGTTTTAAAACAAGCAAGCTCTTGTTTCTGGAAACTTCTTCCTCCACAAGGGTCTAACTACTTAGAAACGATGCCTTGTAACTTCACAGCCAAGAGGCCAATTTTTCAATTTCCACAAAGCATTTGTAGCAAATGTCAGTTAACTTGGTTTTAGTGTTTGATCAACTCTACTTGAGTCTAAACTAAGAAGAGGGTTGTTTTGTTTTTTTTTTTTTTTTTTTTTTTTTTTTTTTGTTCACCTGCCTCAGCTTCTGGCATCTGAGAGACTGTGAAAATACTTGGTTTGCTTGTAAGAAAACCACAATTAAGAATAAGACTAATTATCTTGATTTTGGAGGCTCAACCTGTTTTCTTTCCCCTGTCACAGATTTAGCAGAGTTCCTCAGAGCAATGTGCCTTTGGGGGTGAGGAGGCTGTGGCTGGAGGCTACATTGCAGAAAGGCCAACTGCGTGTTCATGGATCTAGCCTTTATAGATGCTTATCAATGCCTACATTAATACTACAGGCATCTAGCAAGGACTTCCAATGCACACAGCATACTACTTCAGGTTCCTGTCAATGTTCTGGATTTATACCTCGACTAATAATTCACAGCCAAACCACATTTTTGTAAATTCTTAATGCACATCATACTTAACTGCACATAGGAGAGAGTCCTATTTTAGAATTCCTTTTTTTCTTGATGGCTAGAACATAGCAAGAAAAAACCAGCCTCTTTGCATTTCCAAAACCCTTCTTTGAGTATTTTATATGTATTACTAGGCAAATAAGCTTACCACATAAGAAATAAACATTAATATTTGGAATAATTTCAGTAAAAGGCTTATCTATGGAAACCTACGTAATGCATACTAAATGTACAAGTTGAGATGTGCTGACTACATAAATCGGAAAGGCTAAACGTGATTTAATTTACTTTAGCCTGGCACTTATGTTTCAGAAATGTTACAGGTATGGTGGCACCTACATATAATCTCTGAGGCGGGGAGACAGTTTGAACCAGCTTAGACCAGAAAGCAAGACCCACCACAAAAGGGGGCTGGGAGGAGGAGAATGAAGATGAATCAGTGGATTACAGACCCTGCCCTTTACTCATTATTGAGCAAGCAGGTTATAAAGTAAATGATAAGAAATTACTTTCACTGAATTAAATAAATATCTCACCTGCTACCCTCATTGTTGCTTTTTCACTCGATGGCACTTCTTAGAAATACGGTCCTAAAAATCAAAGGGAAAGACAAACACCATCAATTATACCATGAATGTTCTTCCTTAGATGGAGCTTATTTTAGAAAGTATACATGAAACCAATTAAGTAAATGCCATGACGTTTCTAAGTATTCTACAAATAGCAATGTTTAATGAAAAATCTCTTCACTGCCCACACCTTCCACTGGGCCATAAATAAATACATAAATAGAGAAAGAAAGAAAACCAGAAGTTGCCTTGCTTGTGTCGCCCACTGACCATGTCCTTTGCTCCCATCATGCCCTCTGCCACAAAGGTTAGCTATATCCCCCCCCCCTTGAGTACACATCTGTTAGGAGCTCACAGCATCTGGATTTAAACACTGGTTAGTTAACACATCACGTCAGTAAGCCCTTCACCAAGTAACAGAAAACCATTTGGAAATGGTGGTTACTAGGCTGGTTCATGCCAGCCAGCACAGGACGCTATTTCCTTTTTCATGAAGTAACTCAGATATATCACCGCTGAACACATTCACAGAAAATGCTGTGAATTTAATACTAAACCCATTTCACACTTTTCAATTCCCATAGGCAAAATAACGTAACAGGAGGCTTAGAATTATAATTTTAAGTACTCCAGCAATTATCATTACTGACAGAATGTTATACGTCAAAGAAACTATTCTTTGATATTATTTTACCAACTGGCAACAAATGCTAGGAAAAAAAAAAAATCTATGCCTGTGTGCTTTTCCTTCCTACAAAACAACTCAAAATGGAACTGTAAATAAGATGTCTATACCAAAGCTACACCCCCATTCACTTACACAGCTGCTTCAGTCAGCGTTTCGTATAGGAAGAGAATGCAAAGGGTAAGTTTCAAGTAATGAATCCTATTGATCAGAAATACATTATTTCTCTGAATACAAGCATACACACACACAAGCATGCACACACACATACTGATCTAATTAATACTTCACAGACAGCTCAAAAACGAAAAGAAAAAAGACCTTTCCCCAAAGGACACTGAAAAGACTGTCCAGTGCTCCCAACCCCCTATATCTTCTGCTGGCTCCCTTTCTTCTGCAAAATCCAATCTGGAAAAACAAACAAACAAACTCCAACCAACACTTAACTGAGGTTTTTTTTTTTTTTTTTTTTTTCCTTTGCTATCTATGTGAACACCTTTTACATGATAGCCAAAGTCAATGCTATCTATTTAAAATCCTTAGTCACCAGTCAGGATTCTAGAAGGAAAGAAGAGACAATGAACTATCTACAAGACTTACATAATTTTCTGTAGAAACAAAAATAGAAATCCTTTTCCCCAGTAACTTGTCCTTGAACTTAAATTTTTGAGTCAGAGCATTTTTTTTTTAATTTATTATTTTACATGTCGATCCCAGCTCCCTCTCCCTCCCTCCCTTCTTCCCTCCCTTTTACCCTCTCTGCCCTCTCACATGCACCCTAAACACACTCCCCTCCCAAACCCCCACCCCAATTCCCAATTCCATATATAGGGGAATGCCATCCAGTTGGGGTCATGTAGATCTGACAGGTCATGTGAAGTAGGGACTAGGACTTCTCTCCTGTCTCTAGATTAAGGCAGTATCCCTCCATGGGGGATGTGTTAGCAAGGGCCTTTTGTGCATCAGGGATACATCCTGGCTCCACTGTCTGAGGTCCCTTAGACTGCTCAGTCCTTCTGGCTGAGACCCATATTCAGGGGGGGCCTGAGTCAGTTCCATGCTGGCTTCCCAGCTATCAGTCTGGGGGCCCGTTATCTCCTTGCTTAGGTAAGCTGTCTATGTGTTTCTGCCGCCTGGGTTCTAGTTCGACTCAGTGTTTATGTATGGGTGTTTGCTCCTGTTTCCAACAGGCATTAGATGAGGGCTCCATGGATAAGTTAGTTGTTGACTTTACTATCCCGGAAGGGCATTTATGCTAGCCTTTCCACGGAAGCTCAAATTGTTAGTTGGTGGCAGTCTTGTGGTTCTCTAGACCTTTCTTTGTGTTCAATTTTATCTTCAAACCAATATTGGCTCCCTCTTTTATGCTCTCTCTCTCTCTCTCTTTCTCCTGTCTTCTATTCCTAACCGGGCCCAATCTTCCTGGTCGCAGGTGTTTTCCTTTCCTCTCCCTCGTTTTCTCCTACTTCTCTCTCCATTTGCTGCCCCCCTCCACTTCTCCTGAGCTCTGGGGGACTTGTCCCTTCCCGGTTCTGTGAGGGACTTTATATGAATCTCTTAGAATACACCTTGTATCCTAGTTCCTCTGGTGGTGTGAATTATAGGAAAATGAAAGCTGTGGATTTGATCAAGCCAGACCACGCGAAACAGAGTACCAAGTGATCCTACATTCAAAACAGCTGGACAAAGCAACCTTGCAGACTACAGCCAGGATTTCTGTATCTTCTTAGAATCCCCCATGACAGCGCCCCTTAGCAGCAGGAAGTAGTTTGGAAAGAACAACGCCCAAATTCCCAAATATTGTCTATAAATGTTTGTTTTCATTTAAATGGACTTGGTTATAATAAATAAATAAATAAATGAATGAATGAATGAATGAATGAATATTTGAAAAATAAAAATAAAAAATAAAAAAAACCAAGCCTAAGCTATAGGCTGAGCATTTATAATATTAAGTCTTTGGTTATTTGGGAGCAGCTGTCTGGACCCAGAAAAGTCTGCCTACATCTAGAACTGCTTGAACTTTGCACACTTCTTCCAAGTGAAATGTTTTAGAAGAAGAATAAAATTCTTGCATTTATCAGAAAAAAAAAAGACTTTACATAAACTATGAGGGTGGGGGTTGGGCTCGGCTTCTCAACCAAGAACACCTACAGGTCATAAATCCTCTTTCGGCTTACGGTGAAAATGAACTTTGCATTCCCAACACATGCACAGTCTTTCCTCTCCTTTCATAGGCCAGGATAATTTCACTCCTATCTGAGTGTGACCTAGGAAAATGTCTTTGAAAATGTGATAAGCAGTTGGGTACCAGACACCTGCTGTTCTATTTCAGCTTCCATTGCAGGCGGAGCCCACACCTGTATAATTACAGTCACCAGCCGCCTGCTTTCTCTTCCCAGCATTTCTGCTTCTGAACTCATAACAGTCTGCTGTATAAGCAACTACATTTGTGAATACAATTGTTTTCCATTAAAATATCTTAGGGAATTGACATTTGGGAAAACTTCTATATTAAAATCTCATCAAAGCGCCTCAGTCATTAACACGTCTTTAATTAATTTCCTTAATTAACTTTCTTGCATCTTTAATGATGCAAAAGTGTAAATCCGAAGAACAGGAATACTGAAAGAGATTTAAGGGCAAAATATGGCCGGTATTTATGATGTGCTAATTCCAAACCAAGGCTGGCTGTTTCCAGAGCATTTGAAAACTTGTAACAATCTGAGGCAGTGGAAGAAACTGCTCATGAAGACGACTTCAGGGAATCAGGGAGAGACCGGTCCAGAGGCAATGAACACAACACTGAAGGAATAAAAAGGCCTCAGCTGAAAACTCAGGATGCTAATCTACATACTCAGTAAGAGGCAGGAACAGAAATCAAAACTAGTTGCCAAAACCAGAATATTTGTAATTAAGGATATTCTTAGAATAAATAAACACGTAAATAAAAAATTAAGACGTTATAGTTAAGGAATTCATTGCTCCAAAAATGTAAGGATAGACCAAACCAAGTTTCAGCATTTTAGGTGGATAAGGATGCTAAATGAAGGAAGATAGGATGCAAGGTCAGCTGAAAGTCAAAGCAGGAAGGGCCATGCTGCCCCCTCCCTCCCCCCCGAACAAAAGATCACGGACCTGAAGTGTGTACTCCTCGGTGTGTGGCCTAGCGTAAAGGGAGAACCTAAAGCAGGAACTCCGAGGGACCAACCCTGTTTATTTATCTGGATGTTCTCATTAAACATTTCTTTTACCCCAACTGCATAGTATTGTCCAATTTAATAAAACTTTGTTACTCAGAATTGGGCTGCTATGTGAATACGGAGGGTCTGTCTAGAACTCATTAAAATAAGGACCAATGGTAATAAAAGCAGAGATCAAATGGCACTCCCGTTCCTTCCCAGACAAATAAAGTCTAAATTACAACACTGCCCTGTATCAAAGAAACAGGCTCTCAGGAAGGGCTGTCTTTCCCAGTATCTTCCCACCAGCTCTCTAGTGGTCCTGGGTATTTGTGACGGACAACCTTCCAGAGGAGGGTGAGGAGTTCTCCTCAGTTCTGAGAAAGTAGGGAAAAGGCTCACAAACCACCCTCACCCCATTCCATTTCTCCCGCCACACACTGATGTACTTGTTGACAAATGCCATGCCAATCAATTTGGCTTCTGAAAATTGCTCTGGGAATTGCAGATCTCTGCTGCAAACTAGCCACTCAAGAGCTTTGACAATTTGTCAAACTGACTTTAGTTTGAGTGTTGGAAACACTACTACCACCTCAAGAAGGAAAAAAAAAAAAAAAAAGATGCAAGAAAATATACACACAAACACAGTAGTGTAATACTAAAAATAAAATTAATTCAGCTGAAAGAAAATACTGAATTGTATCTCACAAAATAGACAACCATTATTCACTTTACTCTAGTGTCAAGTCAGTGCTGGCCAAATAACAATTTTAACCAAACCAAGAAAATTCCGATGCTTCCAATACTTAAGTGGGCTGGGGCTTTTCTCCTTTGTTATTTTACTTTTCTATTGTATGTATGGATGTTCTGCATATATGTCTGAGCACCGTGTGCATGCAGTGCCCTCAGAGTTCAGAAGAGGGTGTCTGATCCCCTGGAACAAGAGTTACAGAAGTCTGTGAGCTGCCTATGGCTGCCGGGGTTGGTGTGAACCCAGTCCCTCTATAAGAACAAGACTGCTCAACCCCTGAGATATCTTTCCAGCCCCCAGGGAGCTGGAGTTTTTTTTCAAGAGACTTACATAAAAACATGCCAGGCTACAAAACAATAGACACAGACTACACCTGTTTGTGATGGTGAATTTCATGCAGCAA